GCGAGAGGATGCTGCTGTATTTCATCTCTGAAGTGTGTCCAGGCTGGATCGAGCTTCCTGGAGACCTGGTGGCCACAGCAGGAGGACACAGGACTTGCTTTCCCCTGGTTTGCACAGCACAGGAAGGTTGGCACACGCGTTTTATCAGAGATGCCCTGCTGGGGACCGGGCTGCAGGTCCACCAAGCATCTGGCGTGTTCGTCAGGAAGCTGTAATCAAGCCCCCAGCACAGCAGCGGTGGTGCACAGGTCCAGAACAACTCTTCACATTGTCGAGCAAGAGGCAGGTTTGGTATCGGCTGGGCTTCCTGAGCCAGTCCCTGCTCCTGGTGTCTTTGCACATCCCCTGGGGAAGCTGCTTCCCTTCTGGAGAGCAGAACTCCCCTCTTTTGTCACAGAGAAGCGACCCCGAACGCGTGGTTACCCAAACTCAGGTCATTTCGGGAGTACATCTTGTCCAACGAGGTGGGAAGGAAAAGCGAGACTCTTTTCCATGCAGTAGGGCAAGCTGTGGCCAAACCACCCCGTAAAACTGGGTCTGATTAGTTCAGGGCCAGTCGCTATACATTAACTGTGCGATGGAGGCTGCATCTGCGTTCAATCGGGACAGATAAACTGCAGGCAAGCCAAATTCCTCGGCGTGCCTGCACACATCCTGAGCAGGGCTGCAGTCTCTCTGGGTGATCTCGCTTCAGCATGGCCTCAGAGATTAAAAGGTGCCCTTCCCTCGTGTTTTGAAGCAATTTTCACTCGAGAAATAATCTGGATATTACTGGCTGCCATGTGGCACGCTTTTCTAGGGAGCTCACACCAAAGAGTTAAGTGTTGGACAGGGGGAATTTATACTAAACTTACCGATGATCTGCCTGGAAAATAAGTTTTCAGAGCTGAAATTGCTTGCAGGACTAGGTATTCCCCTGAATTAAAAGAAAATGTTCAAAAGGCACTGCTGTGATCTAAATTCGAAGTTCTATTTTCTGGGTAGAAACAATGCTTTATCCGGCTTACACTAAAAAGCTGGAGAGCATTAAAAAAAAAAGTCAAAGCTGAATCAAGACATCTTGAAACTATTATAGCGGAGTGTTTTGGATAATAGGCTTGTGAACGGTTGTGAGATACAAAGTTTTGCTGGAAGACAGGCGAAGAAATATCAAACTCTTGACAATTCCCTCAAGGAAGCAACACCACTTTGCCATCGGCCCCAGTAGGTCTGAACGCCCTCCCCATCTGGCACCGGGATAACCCGATGGGCAGACAGAGATGGGGCAGCTCTGGGAATGGAAACCAAATTGCCAAAGCCCATCAGCGAATAACGCTGTTCCTTGCCCTTCCTTCCCATTCATGTTTTCCATCCAAATCGTTCACACCATCTTCAGAAGGGAGAGATGATTTCAGAGAGGGGTGTTGGCCAAGATGACCTCCTCCATCCCAAATTTCCCCTGCGATCCCTAAGCTACGAGAAACGTGTGGGCTTTATTTTCTTCCATCAGACAGGCACAGGTCCTCTCGCCGCTTGTGGAAATCTCTTCAGGAGCCATCCTTGTTATTTCTGAGACTTTGATGCCAGAGAGGACTGGATGGGCAGCTGGCAGAAGGTTTGTTTTTGACTTCGGAAGCGTCTGGACTTGCCCTGGTGTTTGTGTCTCTGCAGTCTGACTCAAGCCCTGCCGAGGCCAAGGGGAAGCGTCCCAGTAGCTTTGCAGATATAAAGTTGCCACTCTCCGAGGGATAAACTTCTGGTAGCACATCGCCTCATCCATGTCTCTTCCTCCTGATCTGCTGGTGAACTTCCACCGAGCAGACTTTATTTTAATGATGGTTATCCAGGCGTACACAAACACATTTCATCCCGCCGATGCTCCTCAGATGACGCACCCTGCAGCACCATCAAAGCCCGTTTTGGCACACAACCTTCTCCACCTGCCAAATTCCCTTCCCTTTCTTTGGCAGTGCCCAGGCTGTGCCTATTTGCCTCTGTTGGCTGCCCTGCTATGGCTCCTGCTAGTTTGGCTGCCTACATCTCTTTATTTTTTTAATGCTGCTGGGATCCCGCCTTGCCAAGGCTGCCCACAGCCTCCATGGTGCCTTCCTTTCCTAATCCAAATACGACAAAATCGTCAACGGAACCTATTACTTTGAGAAAAGAACTGTTGTTATTGAAGGATAAGGATAAAGTTTATAGGGGGAGGCAGGACTTTGCATGAGATCAGCTGATAGGAAAACCAGACAAGCTTTTGGCCGCGCAGGTCTTTGCGTAGGGCACTCGGCAGAGCTCGGTGAGCAGATTTCTCTGTGGCCTCCTTGTGCAAGGGCAGCTTCCTCCGCAAGGTTTGCAATTTGTAAGCCAAGGAAACGCTTTCAGTAAGCCATAACTTGCATAACAAGGACTCCCCAAGCAAAAAAAAAAAAAAAAAAAAAAAGGTTGTTTGTCTTCAAAGAAATACTTTTGGAGAGCTATTTTGTGGTAAGTCACTCAACATTACTGATCCTCATTAGATTAGAAAAGTACAGGCTTTCCCTCCAGGAAAAGTATGTAAGTGTTGGAATTTCTAACGTTAGAAATGATTGAAACTGAGGGGTTTGAAATGGTAATTTTTCCTATGGCTGAAATTTAGTAGACGACAGTTTTCTTTCCCATGTCCGTTCTCATTACTTATCAGAAGCGCGGGCGTGATTTACATCCCTCGCGAGCAGGGTGGAAAGGCTGATTCCTGCCTGCCACCTCCTCCGCCTCTGCTGCTCAGCCTTTCCCAAACACCTGCACTGCCACCTTCTGCCTGTGCTGAGCTCACAGCTCAGTTGTTTTTTCTTACCCTGCAAGATTCATAGTGTGTGTCCCAGTCAAACGTGGAATACAAAGAAGAAACCACGTGTGCACGGTCACGTTGGTCTGTAAATTCAATTTGTTGCGAGCTGCTCTCTATTTCAGCTGCTGGTTGCCTCGTACATAATTCCTGCCTTCGATTGAGGGGATGGGAGCTCTGCAGTGCTGCTCCTTGCGACCCACAAAACCAAAATACTTCGCTCAGCCACTGGCCAACCATTAGCCACAGGCGTTTGTTTGCCCAGGTTTGCTCGATGGCCTGAGCGATGCCGGCAGGGGCTGAAGTAAGCAAAGGGAGGCTGGGGAAGGGAAGCTTCGGCTGTGGGTCATTATAGGTCTGGGTCTGTCCCCTGAGTTCAGAGAAGCTGCCCTGATACATACCTGGTGGGATCTGTTCCAGGTTGTTGTATGAACTGGGCTGGTTGTGTCTGTGACCCCTATGGCCTAGGAAGAGGACATCCAGGTGACATCTCTCTGTGGCTTATAGATAGATGGAAAATGTCTTTTTTCTTTTTTTTTTTTTTTTTTTTTATCCTTTCCAGTTGAAATATCAGTCAACGTCACTTCCAGGCAGGAGCAGAGACCCTCTTACCAGCCCTGGGAACCTCTGAAGGGCTCCCACCATCCCCTGGAAACGGCCGGAGCAACTATTGAACATCCAACCCCCAGTCTTTTGTCAGAAAGCCAGTCCTCCCAGCCTTGAGAGACTTCGTGCACCCAAGAAAAGGTTGGGAATTTTTTCCCCGCACTCTACAGATGGTTTCCCACGGCACGGCTAGGGGAACAGTGGCATCTGGTGTTCGCTCCGCTGTCCTACAGCCACCGCTTCCCAGCTGGGTTCTTGCAGGTTTCACCGGGTGCAGGCAGGATTTGGGGCCCTGGTGGCACCCGAGACCGGTTGAAGACATCTGCTGAGGGGTGCTGTGGGGTGTACAGGAGGCTGAAACCCAGCTAACGGCAGCTAGGGGTGGAGGGATGCCCCCTGTGTCTGCACTGCTTTCAGGATCTGAGTGTCTCCGCAATTTAGTCTCACGTTTTCAAACACCCCAAATGCAAAAACTGCCCAGGAGCCTCTCCCCTGCCAGTGTCGGTGACTTTAATGCACCCAAAGCTTGTGATGAGTTTAGTTGGGAGATTTTTGTGTACCTGTGTTCCAGGTGGTGCATCCTCTACTGCCCATCTCTGGAGCACAGCCAAAGCCTTGCTGCAAGACAAACTGAGCCAAGCTTCCTTCTCCTGCCAGCACAGCAAGGAGCCCAAATCCGAGCAAACCAAAAGGAAAAGGTGCGTTTCTCCCTGGTAATTTCTATGCAAATTGGAAAAGGCAAATTACTCTCTTCATTTTGGGAACTGAAATCCAGTTCATCAGTCTGCACATGCACGAAAGACAGGGTGTTTCCTGCAGAGATGGACAGAATGACCAGCCTGAGCTTGGACCTCTGGGTTACTGCTGGCTTTCACGTTTCAAGTTGTCAAATTTCTTACATTCACCATCCTGACACTTAACCAAAGGCTATTCTGCAATATTTGCCCTATCCTCTTAGCCAGATTTGGGCAGAAGAGCTGGGATTGACACAAGGTGACCAGTACATAACTTGGTGCACGAGTCCCTCAGCCTGGTCACTTCCCCCTACATCACAGAAGGGAGCCCAAGGCCGAGGAGCACCTCAGGTGGCTTTACATAACACGTAGAAGTACAAAATGACAATATCCCAGGGGCTGCCTTTTGCATGGTGGTGTGTACCTTGGCAAGGGTTTGCTCAGGCTGCCGGATCTCCCTGTTCTGCAACAAGTTTGTTCAGACCAAACCCTCCAGCGCAAGAGTTAACGTGCACTAGGGTTTGTTTATTTTCTATTAAACCATGGGAGGCTTTCCAAAGTGCAGCTCAACATTCGCTAAAAAAAAAAAATAGAAAAAAAAATAATCAGTGGGAACTGGGCACTGAGCTCCAAATCCCATTGAAATTCATTTCAGTCCCCATCATCTTCTACAGAGGCTTTGGGTCTTAGGCTGGAAAATGACCTTTCTCTTGCAAGTCAACAGGTAAGTTGTTTAAGTGTGTAAAGAACAGGTTGCAGAAGCCCACGCTCTACAAATACCTCAGCCCTTTTGCTATCAGCAGGCGAGATAAATGTTGTTTCCTGAATAGGGTCAGAGAGAGAGCAAGAAACCTCGCTTTTGTACCATGTTTTGTTTATTAAATTCAGTTCTCATTGATGTCCAGAGCTGAGAAAAATGTTTCCCAGGAAGACTGACAAGCAGAAACGTTTCATAAATATATATATATATTTCAAACTCTGTAGGTATAAACAAATAAAAGCTCTATATTGCTGTTTTGGGAGGTCCTAAGCAACCAGCATTTTCTTCTGGTCCGTTAGCAGCAAACGTGGTAACCAGTGATGAACTTCCACTTCTTTTTAAGTGGTGAAATCCAGTGTTTTAAAATTATTGCTCATTATCAGACACACACACACACACAAAGATACGAAGGGTGTCCATTTAACATCTTCATGAAGAGCAGTGACCATATCCCCCGACAGCACGTGCAATTTTGTGGTGCTGTTCCTATTGCAATCAAGACCCGAACTTTCAGAAATGAATGGAGACGTCGGTGTGACCAGTCTGAGGGTGTCACAGGAGAACATTTCTCAGCAGGTCCCACCACGGAGCCTCCCTAAAATCTACCTTTGTTTACAGCGTCGGGCTGAGCATCCCTCAAGGGAAACGCCTCCGAACTGCTCACTGCTGGGGTCCCAGCACCCAACTGAACGAGGCTCCAGCCGTGAGCTCCTCTCCTGCAGGAGCTGGGACCAGCCCAGCGGGGAAGAGGATGAGGAGCAGCACGCAGAGCAGTGTCCCGAAGTTGAAGACGACCGAGGTATTTTCCCTTCCTTGCCGGTTCTCCTGGATGGGAGGGCTGAGGGAGGTGGCTGATACCATGAAGGGAGCAACGTGGCTCTCCTAACCGGAGACATCCCACCTTTTTCAGCTACTGGGAGCAGCAATTCCCCCTGTGCCCACCAGCCGGTGGCCCCCCACCAGGACAAAGCCGCAGCAGCTCCTGCTCCCTTCTCCTGGAGCACCTTGGGGTCCACCAGCCCTTTTCCCATACCCTCCCCACGGAGCACCCCCGGCTCTCAGCTCTGCTCCAGGCAGCCCGCTCGCTTCTCGGCAGGGAAACAAGGAAGGGCACTACTCGTGCTACAAGCCCTTGGCAGGGAAACTTGGTCCCAGGGGAGGGAATCCCGCTGTAGCACCAGCGAGGCGTGCTCCTCAGGCCATCCCGGCGGAGACCTGCTTTTCATCCACCCGTTCCACGCTGGCCCTCTTTGGGTACACCACGCTGGCCATCTTGAAGAACTCATCCGCAGCGTCCAGAGCTATGAGCCGGTCCTGCCAAAGCAACAGGGTTTTACAGTCAGTGCGAGCTGCCTGGTCAGGGTCCTCCCTCCGTGGCTCTCAGGTTAAGCCAGGCGTGAGGTCTAATCTTCTCCCACCTCATTAACAGGCTACGAGAGCACCCAACTGCACAGCACCTTTGGGAGCAAGTTGATGGTGCTACAACACGTCTCCAAGGAGCTACAGGCGCAACATCTGCTGGGGATGCCCCAGATGCCACCAGGTACTTGAATTTCCTTCCATCTACCTGCTCCCCTGTGCATGAGCCCATTTTCAGAGCTGGGGTGGCAGGGAGGGAGGCACACTCAGAGCTACTCACCACCACGAAGAGGTAGCGCTCAGAGAGCTGCCAGCTGGTCGGGAAGATGTTTGTCTCTTCGGACAGCTTTAGCAGGATGTCCCGGGCTTTGCCCATGTTCTGAGAGTCGCTGATGATGCTGAGTTTGGTCACGGACAGGAGGGAGTCTGCTTCCTTCTGGAAACCTGGGGAGGAGACGTTAGAGAAAGGAGCCAAATGTACGGAGAGCAGGGGCCATCCCTGAGCACTAAACGCCCTTGCCAAGTTCCTCGTTCCCCCTCCACCCCGGGCTGCTGCTTTCCCTACATACTAAAACAAACCAGAGTTTTCCACAGCAAGCTCCATGGCTGCACTTGGGGCAGGCACGAGCTTGCTGCCTGGAGAATAAATATTCAGAAAATTCAAAGCAAGTAGCTAGTTTTCCACAGGAGGGCCACGATCGCCCCACCCAAACCCTGGGTGTTGATTCAGCTCCTGATGTAAGTGGTGCAAGAGCTTTCCGGGCTGGTGGGGCACCCCAGTGATTACAGCAGTATGTGGGTGGTAAGTTGTAAGTGAGAGTGATAAAAAACCTCTGGCAGTAGTGAACGCACGTGAGATTGTTCCCGTAGCAGTCAGCATCTCTTATAAGAAAAGGTACCCAGGGAAGGAAAAGGGAGGAGGATGAATCAGGGCGGTGAGCACGTAATCGCTACCACTAACTCAGCTCCAGGGAGCTGGTGGTGATGCATCTTATCTGAAAATGTTTTCAGAGAAAAGAGCGACGGTCTTATGATTAAAACACAGGTGTAGCTAGTGCAATATAGCAGGTTTCGCTTCTGCTTTCACATCACTTTGCTACGGCCAAAAGATCCCAGGCCTTGAGCCTCCCACCCTTTGCAAACCAACTCTGGAGCCACTGCAGATGTGAGGGAGATGTGGCTGCTCGGGAGGGCCTTTGCCAATGACCAGGGACAGATTCAGGACCTGGGAGAGTCTTTCCCAGCATGCAGGGATAGATGTAGGGACCAAGTGATCTCTCCCACGTGTGGTCTGCACAGGCTGTGGAGCACCCAGTGGTGTGAGCCAAGGAGGAAAAGTAGAGGTATCTGTGATCTAATCTGGAAGGAATATTCGTTTCTCCCTGCTTATCTTGTTTATAAAACACGGGGGGAGCTCCCAGGTAGTCCTGCTAAGCTTGCAGAAGGGAACTAGACATGGATGACTGCGCATTGCTGGGCTTGAGGGGCTCTCCTGGACCCCTGCCTCCTGCTGGCCGTGCTCCCTGGGCTTTCCAGTCGTGGGACCTCTCACTCAGCACCACAGAAATGACATCGTTTTGTCCTTCAGCTTACCTAAATCCTCCAAAATGTGTTTCCACCTGCTTCTCACTTCTTTCCGGGTTTGCCGTAAGGTATAGATGTCATAGTTGAGCTTCTGCCATTCCTGCAAAGCAAAGAGATAAAACATGGTCAGGCATTTGCACATGGGGGGTGGCTCTGCTGCTTTTCTAGGAATTTGAGCTTCTAGAAATGAAGCCAGAGCTAAACCAGTGACACTGGCAGCGAGGGATCTCTGTGAAGGTCAGTGGCCAGGCCTCCGTTGCCTCTGGGAGAAGTTATGCTGAGCAAGGAAGGATATTTTAGCTTGGCTTTTGGCACAGCATCTCCGTATCTCCTTAGCACAGGCTGAGCAGGCTTCCAGTTCCCTTGAGCTGGGGTCACAGAATTTGGCCTGGGTGTTGCTGGCGGCCAAGGTGGGCTCCTTGGTGGGACGGGGAGAGCACGAACCCGCTGCCGTGCTTGGTGCTGGCCATGGTGGTGCTGTCCTGGATGGGGAACGACACGAACCAGAGCCCTTTTTTACCCCAAACCCTGACACCCCAAAACCTCAGGCTGTGAAAACACCTTAATTGACCCTTGCAGCTTGAGAAAGCAGGAGCACATAGTAATGATTACCTTCTACAACCTATTGCAACACCTTGTTCCCATACCCGTGTGGTTAAACAGGCACAGCACATTTCTACTAGCTGCTGACAGCCTGCAGAAAACTGAAAGTGGCTGCTGTGCATGGTCACACACACACGGTGTCCTCTCCAAAGGGCTCAGCCCCCTGTTTGGCTGCTACCTGGGGCAGGCAGGGCTTCAAAAGCACTTGGGAACAATAAAAATAGAGGCAGTAAGTACGCACACGGGGAAGGATGCATTGACAGCAGCGTCCACGCAGCGGGTTGGAGCATCGCTCAGATCATTTCCTCGTGCTAACAGCCTTAATTAGTCACCCTGCTGAGCAGCAGGCAGCACGGGAGGACTCCTGCAGAATAAACGGGTGCTCATCTGTGCCGCCCCCCTGGGATTCTCTTCCCTGGGTTCAGGGGGGTGGTGAATATCCACGGAGGCAGACTGCATCAGGAACCCCACTGCTTTTCCAGCAGCTGCCACCTTGCAGAGTTCCCTTGATTTGGTAAAGAGATGGAGATTCCGAGATGGAGATTTCTTGCAGATTTCTTGCTTGCTTTCTTTTTTATTTTTCTACTGATTTTTCCCCAAACTGGCCAGTATGCCATGGCTGCTGAGAATTAAATGCCTGCAGGAGCAGGAGCAGGAGCAGGAGGGGGTCAGGCTGCCGAGCTGGCGGCTGGGAGGGAGCCGTGGCGCTCCCTGGATTCAGGGCAGCGTGGCTTCCCCCGTCTATTTTTGTTCTGAGGGAATCTAGGTTACGGCTTCCTTGCACATCCTGCTTCCTGAGCTGCTCCACTGGAGCAAACCCAGTCCCTGAGGACCTCGAGCACTGCCCTGCCAGGGGAGAATTTGGGCAGTGTGCGACGGAGAGGCTTTGGGACCGGAGATGGTGCTTATGAGCATCACCTCTCCCTGCTGTTTGTCACCTCTGGCTGCCCTCCAGACGGCACGAAGGCTTGACAAGCAGGGATTATCTGGGTGAGGCCGGGCGATGCCCTGCTCTCCACCAGCCTCAGAAACCACCGAGCTCTCCCCTCAGCGCAGCCGTCCTAAATGCAGCAGGGGGCTGCCCGCTGCGCTGCTTTAACGCAGGAATAACAGCAGCTTTCTACCCCCAAAATTAATCTAAAAGAGCCTCTCCCTTTAGCCACACAGCAGAGGAAGAGCAAATGCTGTCTGGCCCCGTGTCTCCGCGCAGGAACAAGCAACATCAGAGCCGAGAGCAGGCGGGTGTTCCCCATGTGCATCCCTGAGTCACCAGGAGGTGACCTGCGGTGGGGCCGGGCGGCATCACGAGGCCGAGGATGCTCCAAACCCGAGGGCAGGGAGCTGGGGCTCGTGCCAAACCCTGCACTCCCTCGGCCCTCGCTGCTGCTGTGGGGTGTTATTTCCTCCTGTTTTCAGCAGGGCGAGCAACTCGGAGCTGAGCTGGAAGATGAAAACGTGGCTTGGAGGGCGCTCCGTGACTCCGGAACGAATGTGCCAAGGAGCAGGCAGGCGCCGCCGGACCTTTCATCCCTGCTCAGATGGAAATTTTCTAATTAGCAGGGAAGTTTTCTTCATGTTGTCAAAGCAACCCCCTAGCGAGGCCATTTCCCCTATTCCCTTGCAAGCAATTCATCTCACTGTTCTGGTTGCTATTTTTGTAGGAAATGGGCTTGAAGCACAGTTATTAGTGAAAAACTGCAAAAACCCCGGGCCAGGGAGGTAGCGCCCTGCACCCAGGGGTGCTCCTGCTCTCACCCAGCATGAAGAGGCTGAACAAATACAAACACAGGCACGTTCATACACTCAGCCATCATCCCACATCTCAGCTTGTCTGTTACCACTGGAGTCCCACAAACAAAGTCCCATAAAATGCTTCTCTCCGTATTAGCGGGCTGCCTGCTGGAACAGTGCCTTGCCAAATCACACCGTGTTTTCCTAGAGGTCCTCATTTCACCTCCAGATTCGGGCTTTTATTTCACACCACAACAGGTCTGACACTGCTGCAGGAAAAAAAAAAAAAAAAAAAAGGGCAATAAAAGGCAATTTTCCATGTTCGAAATGTTGACCCAAGCTGTGATGAGCTTTGCCAAGAGCTCTGATCTCACCCAGGGTGTCGTGGCGCCTGCCCCCAGAAGCTCGCTGCCCTGGTTCAGCAAGGAGCAGCCCTGCTGGCCTTACACAAGCCAAAGGCACAAGGAATTTGCACCAGAGCTGCCAAGTTTCATGAAGGGAAGGGGCAGGGAGGAGAAACACTGAGCTGGACGTGTCCGAAGTCTCCGCTGAGTGAGCACAGGAAATCGCCGCCTTGTGCTGCGCCTCCAATGTTGCTCTGTTGTGATTACACACGGGGAGGTGCTCACCCCTCACCAGCATCCTCCACTTGCACATGGGCTGCAGCTGCTCTTTCAGAAAAAAAGCCTGTCTTGATGCAAAGACTTGCCAAAAAACGCTTGGATAGGCAACCAGTGCAAACAGGCTCCTCCGAGGATGCTTACAGGCCACTCTTGGGCACCACGTGGAGTTACCAGGCGATTTCCACCATCCAAACCCTGCAGGCTTGCACAAGGAACAGCACAAAGGAGGAAAACTTTTTTTTCATCTGTTCATTGATGCCCAGAAGTTTACACCCCAGGCATCACCACCAGAAAGCTCGCTATGCCTCAGCACTGGTCATTCTGCTGGCGATGGGGCGCCCGGGCTTTCCCCTGCCATTGCATCCTGGCCCCCCGCTTGTGTCCTAGCTCGCAGCACTTGTCCCTCTGCGTGCAGTGATTTTAAAACAGAAAATGCAACAGAAAGCAGACGGGGGGTAGATCGAGGAAAATGCAATACGGGTTTGAATGGCGCGGTGGTGTCACGGCACCACGTGGAGAGAGCTGCCCTTTGTGGCCCTGCCAGCCCCTGTGCTAGGAAATCACGGCGATAAAGGTGGGAAGGAAGCACGCAGTGAGCGCTCCGCACGCTGAAGTTACATCCAGGGGCAGAGATGCAGGGGTCAGTTCTCCTTTCGGTCCTATTTTAACTGAGATTGAGCAGACGGAGGGATGGTTTCGTGACGCCTGTGCTCAGCATGAAGCAGCAGCCCTGGCCCGTCCCCTGCCCGCGGCATCTGCGCGCTCCCCGAGGCCCAGCTGCCAACAGCAGCTCCCAAAGCAGCTTACAGCTTTCGCAGGCCAGCCCTGTTTTGCAATTAGACTTTTCTCTCTCATTAGGAGGAGAGGGCGACACAATCTGGCCTAGTTTTCTTCAATGCTCGCTGGAGAGTGAGGAGAGATTTCGGCACCCGGGGCCGGCCACAGGAATGTTGGCTTCCCAGGCCAAATTCCTCCCTGTCCTGGCACCAGGAAAGGGCTGCAGCTGAGGACTACAACAGCTTGTATATCCTCGAGTCTTTGTTTTAAGCAAATTACAGCACCTGGATGGGAGGCAGGAGACCAAAGCTAAGCAATGTGCATTGCGTGCCTCAGTTTCCCTCGCTGCAGAGCACGTGCATGAGGCACGGCCCCACGCTGCAGCTCATGCAAACCTTCAGAGTTTCCCCAACCACTCTGCACTGCAACAAGCTTGCAGGTCGGCCTGCTGCCATGTTCCTCGGGCTTTTTTATTAATCGTGCTGCAACCAAATTGTGCAGTTGTTTTGGCACTAGCAGGAGCAGAAGCACTTGCTTGCTTGCCCCCGACTTACACTCACATCTGCAGCCCCAGCGAGGCTGACACACAGCACTCCTTCGCCCAGGGAGCCATCATTTAGCACTTAGGATACCGTTTTATAGCTAATAATATTTTTTTTAATGACTCCTGCCTTATAATGGGCCTTAAAAGGCTGAAATCAGGCACTGTCACGTGCTCTCCTTTGCTTTGGACCCTGAAGTCCACCCCACTCCACACCCAGCCCCTGAATGGAGCTGTCCTCCTTTCCTTCAACCCCATTAGGCTATGGAGAAGACAGAGTGGGGAAGGAAAAGGGTATTTTGGTATTTAAATCTTTTCTTTAATCTCAGCCATACCTTCCAGTGAAAGCTTTTTGGTTAAGGGGACTGTCTCACAGTGGGGAGGAGTTACGGTCTCGTGGTCTCTTGGATGAAATGGGATTGTGCTGAAATTAAACGGGAAGCCTCCAGGCTTTTCTGAAAATATTTTGGAGTCTGAAAAGCAATCAGAGAGGGGGAAAGGCATCTGCATTTGCTGCCGCATGGACCTAATCAGGCCGCCGAAATCTCCTTTGCACAGAAGTGCTTTGGGGAAGGAAATGAAGGCTGCAAAGCAGTGTTTATGTAACAGAGATGATTTTTCCCTTCTGTGACGTGCCAGTTCTCCACTTCTTGGTAATCGCCCTAGAACCCATTGGAGAAGTGTCTAAGGCAACATCTCGCTGCAGCAGCAGCTCAGCCCAAGGCACTGACGATGCCATGTGAACCTGGGATGCAGCCACCGCAGGCAGAGCTACCGCCATCCCATCCCAAAAAACCCAAAACAAGCAAGTATCGGACAAAACCCGTCCTGGTGAGCTAGGAAATAGGGACAGCGACCCCGGTGCTCTGTGAAGCCCAGGGCAGGTTGCTCGTCCTCACCTCGGAGTCCTTGTCCAGCTGGCTCCTGCCCACGATCATGTTGTACAGCACCCGGTCGTCGTCCGCCTCCGTGTGGGTCACGTCGTGCGGGGTGCTCCACAGGTTCTGCTCCTCGTCCCGCGCCAGCGTGGCTCCGAAGGAGGCGTAGGGGTTGTTGTTGCTGCAGAGAGGGGACACGAGGCTGTGTCAACCACCCGAGCATCACCCTGGCCGTCCCAAAATATCCCTTCTGTGAGCTTCAATCTCTTTTCACAGTGTCTGCACCTGGTGGTAGTGCATGGTTTTTTATAGGGTTGTTTAATTCTGCAGGGACACCTTTTGCAAGAAACCCACCCGGCCAAACCTCGGATAGCACCGCGGGCGCTTTACCCATGACATCAGGGCATTGCAAGGGGTGCTAAGAGGAGCTCCAGCGCATGGATAAGACAGCACAACTCGCATCAGCATTCCTGCAGGAAGCTTAATTAGGCTCAGCAAACCAAAAACCTGAGCAACAGGTAACAAGGGGAAAGATAATCTCTTACAATCTCCCATTGCAGCCAAGCAAACGAAGGTAAGGGTGAGGCTGTGGATGGCATAACTCAGCCCTGCCAACACGGGCTCGCCCAAAGTGTCTTCACACCCTCTTGTCCCTGAGTGAGTGCTGTGGATGGATCAGGAGGCGTTGTGGGGACACCAGAGCAAGTACCCAGCCGTGCCAGGAGGGTTTCTGTGATTTTTCCAAGCCTCCCCGCGGGGCACACAGCATCCCAGCCCACGGGGCATCACTCGCATGCCTCCATCACCATCCTCCTGCCCTCAGCGGGCTTCCTCCTACTCACGGAGCCACCTGCAGCCCTCAGCACCCAGCTCACCATGAAAACATTGTTTGGTAATGACACTAACACGCCTCAGCTTTTACGAGGTGCTCTCTCACAGCTTGCAGGGCGCTTCCCAAAGCATCTTCATTTCCAAACACTGCCCAGGAGGCAGCCCAAGCAAACACAGCGGGCAGCAGCGGGGAGCACGGGCACAGAGCAAGCATCCCCTGAGCATGCCATACTGCCAAACATCACCGAAACTGAAGGAATGGGGGAAAAACGAGCACATGAAGGGCAGCCTGCAAGGCCAGCTGCAGCAGTCTCCATGGGACCGGAGGCATTAACGCTTCGCCCACAGGTTTCTTTCCCATCATCGCTTCCTTCTCCGAATATCAGATTTATGGCTTGGGCAGATTAAGGTGAAAAGTCGCGGAGTCAACACGCAGGGAGCTATCCCAGGGCTCCCAGCTCCCAAGGAGCAAAGAGCTGAAACCCCCCCCGAGTCACTCCCTCCAAACAGCGCCGCGATAAAATAAACAGCGCCGCGCTCCCGCGAGATCCCCGCTTCGAAAATAAAACCCCAAAGCCTCCCATCCAGGGACAAGCCAGTGATTAGGCTATTAGGTTAATTAACGAGGCCACACTTGCGCAGCAGCAGGTGCCTGTCAAATGCCCAGCATTTGTACATCCCTGCTTACAGCCAGCAACACGGGATGGGTGCGGGTGTAGGAAGGCGCGCCGCTAAAGGTGCACGGCCACGCTCGCACGTGCGCCGAGCTCTCCTTAGGTTAATGCCAATTTCCTGGGCTGCAGGCCCCATGCTGGGGATTATCCCCTTCTTACTGAGGTAACCGCTTTAGCAGCGGGGAATCAGGGCGCCTCCACCCCGCCGGCAGCTCCCGTGACTCCCCGCTCGCTAAATAGGTCACCCCGCGTCCTGCCAGCCCCCCGGCCCCCGCGGCGCTGCGGGAGGACGGAGAGGTGCCACGCACGGGGCCACCTGCAAGGTGCAAACCCCGATTCTGCGCGGGCACGGGTCTGTCCTCCTCCCAGCCTCCGAGCCTGACAGCAAAGAAAGGAAATCTCACAAAACAATAAAATAAAAACCAGCGTGCACGCTGCTCCACGCCACGGCGCTGCAGGGGCTGTGCCGCCCTTGCCCACCCCAGCATCCCCAGCCCGTGGGGTGCGGGGTTCCCCAGTGGGACCCCCTCGTTGCTCCTCACCCCACGGGGACCCCAACCCCGAGGCTCGGCCCTGCAGTTTCCCCAGGGGGAGATGCAGCTGCAGCTTCTCTCTCAAAACCTTGTTCCATTTGTTTGTCCGAGACCCCAGCGCACACAGCGGCATCACGGCACGGGGGGCGAGACCCTGCACGCAAACCCCCCACCCCGGAGCCTCCCGCGGGGTAAAAAACAGCAAAAAGGGTGACAAAGATGGGAGAAGGCAAAGAGGGGCTGGGCTCAGAGCATCCCCCTGGCCCTGGGGCCGCAGGGATGGGGATGGGGAAGGGGGGCACTCACCTGAGCAGCGGCTCCTTCTCGGGGGCTGCCGCCTCCCCTCCGCAGCAGCCGCAGCAGCCGCCCAGTGAGCGCAGCCAAGCCCCCAGCCCCATGGGCTCCTCCAGGGAGCCTCCTTGGGCTCTGCTCGCTCGGGCTCTGCCCTCCCCCGTCTCCTCAGCGCCTCCCCAAGCCCTTCCCCGGCTTTGGATGCGCTCCTCCCGCAGCTTTCCCACGGCCTCAGCCGCTGGGAGCCATCGCGCTCCTGCGCCGGAGCCTGGCGCGGCCCAGAGGCAGGCAGGGAGGCGAGGGGAAGGCGGTGCGCGCTGCTCTTGCTCTCTCCCTCTGCTTCATTGCAGGGCTGCGCCGATCCACGATCATCCCCTTCCGGTGAATTATGGCCACTTGGCTGCTCGGGGAGCGAGGCTCCCTGCCTGCACAACACGGGCCTGAGGTGTGAGCAGCGCCCAACGCCTGAAAGGAGCACGCTGGATTTGGGGAGCCGAGCGCACCCGCAGACACCCCAAAGGTTATTTCCCACCCAGGACCGGGCGCTGTGCCCGACAGACCCACGTTTGGGGCAGAAGCTGCGTCCAGGTTTTGGTGCGTGGCCCGCTCTGGGACCGTGTGGGATCAACCCATCACTTCTCCAGGCTCTTGGCCAGCGCCAGCACACCCGTGGCACATCCTCGAAGCTCAAAGCTTCTCCACGAGCTTCTGGAGGTGCTTCTGCATCATTCCTCGGAGAAAATGCGTGGTGCTCTTGCTCCATGGGCACCCTTTGCTCAGCACAGAGGGCTAAAATTCAGGGTGACAGTGCCACCAAGGTGCCGTGGCACATCCGCATCTGTCTGAGGCCACAGGAGGTTAATTAGTTAATTCATTTCAGTTTGCAAATTAAGCACTCGGTGCCACTTTTATAAGGAAGTAGTGGCATGAGGTGGAGAAGGGGAGGCAAGAGGAGCTTTGGGTGCCTGTGTGGGGAGCTTGGCGTGCTCCCCGGCCCAGCCACAGATTCTCATGTGACTTGTTCATTTCATTAATCATTCCCCCAGCCAGTCTTCCTTAATTAAAGGGTGAGATTGAGGGAGAAGGACTTGTTCCATGCTGCTTCCTGAAGGTCCCAGCGCTGGGCTTTTGTGCTTAGCCGGGGCTTTCAGTTCCTCTGTGCACGAAGCACGCACAGGGCAGGATTTCCACAGGATGAGCTGACCGGCCAGGCAGGATTTCAAAGCCGAGGGCTCTTCCACCGGTTTCCTCGTAGCCTGCAGCTTGCCCTTGCTTCTTTTCAGCCTCTCGTGTGCTTGAGCACAAGGACAGCCGGAAGACGTGCCTGCCACTATGAAAATGCTCCAGCAATTGGCTGTGGTGGTTATGTGCACAAATGAGAATGAAAATTCCTGCTTCCCCAAAATTGTCCCGGTGGCAGAGATGTCCATGGCATCTCATACACTTATCATATGCTCATCATACACCTGCACACATTCACATCATACATTTTAAATCAGCCCGGCCACAAATCCAAAAGGCTCAGAGCTGAAGCGCTTAAAATACGGTCACCGAGGAAATCAAGGAGAAATTCACGTTTAGAAAATACGTGTTATTAATTAGAAAGCGTTTATGAGTTTTGTAACGAGTGCTTTGTAGCTGCAGGAAAAGGAGCTGGTTAAGAGTTTTTGTACTGAAATTAGGGGAGATTTTTATTTTTTTCTCCCGGAGAGGTATTGCTGGGGCAGCACGAACACCGTTACAGAGCGAGGCCTGCCAGGGAGCAGCATTTGTTCAGGGTAGAAAGCCAGCACCTCAAGGAGCAGCTCTTCCACGCCAAAAAATACAGGGTCTTTTGGTCCCTTAACGTTAGCATGGGCTCAAAATCTCTGCTTATTACTGACTCAGAAGCACATTACAAATTGAAGGCACCTACCTGGGGTGTATCCAGGCTGTGCTGGCCCCAGGTGCGTGCGATAAGCATTACTGCCTCCGCACAGTGCCAGGTGAGGGCTTTGCCCCTGATGCTGGCAGCGGGGTGATAAGGGCTGTGGTGGAGCTTTTTCCCTTTCTGCTGGGTGGCAGGGGGGCGTTTCGGCATAGCCAGGCTGTGTAGCAGGGGCTGGGGCTCCTGCAGGGCTTGGCTCCAGCTTGTAGTGTCTGCTGGGCTTCACAGCTGCTTCCTGAGGGGCGCAGGGCTGCTGAGCACCCCCAATTTTGTGTGCTTTTGGGGTCTTTGCTGAATTACCACAGTGATGGTGCAGAGGAGAGGGCCCAGGCTGCTGCCTGTCCCAGGGGAACGGGCTCCAGTGTTAAATTTTTGGGGGCCCCCACAGCACTGTACGCCCGTAGGGGTGAGCGCACAGAGCCAGCCGTGCGGCTGGTACAGCTCCCCGGCTGCTCTAGAGGGAGCAATTCTCCCTGCAACCCGCGCTCAGAGGCGGAAAAAGAACAACAACAACCAAAACCTCCGCTGCCTGCAGCTCCAGCCCTTAAACCCCGGCGGCCTGCAGCTCCAAAAACCCTCGCGTGCTGCCTGCGAAGGGTGCAGCACATCCTCCTGGCAGCCTTCCCGGCCTCGCCGTGCTGAGTGGCGCCTGCTCGGTGGCCGAGCAACATCGCCCATGGCTGCGTGGCCTGCCCGGGCCCGGGGAGAGGCCGAGGGAAGCTGAGGGCACCTCTGGTGCCGTGAGTGAGGGCAAAGTCCTCCCCGAGGCCGAGCGGTGGAGGCAGGAGGGTTTGGGCGGCACGGGACGAGGTCTGGCGGCTGGCAGCATGGCCACGCAGATGTTTGAGGGGAGGGGGCATGCGGCGGTCTACCAGAAATACCGCTTCAGCCCCGGCGAGGAGCTGCAGGGAGCCATCCTCGGCTACCTGAGGGAGAAGGTGAGCAGGGCACGGCCGAAATGTGGTGTGTGAGGGGGGTGTTTTTGTCTTTCGGGGGGGTGCTGCGTTGTGCGGGACTGTGGCGAGGAGTCTGCAAGGGGTGGGTGCCCCCCTGAGCCTTTCCACAAGTCACAGCCTGCAGCATCGGTGCGCACAGGGGCACGGAATGGGGTTAAAAACGCAAGATTTGGGGGTGTTGGACCTGTGATGTGCTTCTTTCCCCGCTCTGCAGGGCACAAACCCCACGGAGCTGGCTGTGGACGTGGGCTGCGGCTCGGGGCAAGGCACCCTGTTCCTGGCCGAGCGCTTCGGGAAGGTGGTGGGCACGGACATCAGCCAGGCGCAGATCCAGGAGGCCAAGGCTGCCCCCTCGCCTCCCAACGTCTCCTACCTGTAAGTACCAGAGCTGAGACGAAATTCGGGTCCTCACACCGAGCTGGTGGGCTGGGTATGGGTGATGAGGCACATCCCACCTGGAGGGACTCCTAGCGCACGAGTTATCCTACCTTTACAGTATCCAAGCCATGCACACCGAAAAATACCCATTGATTTTGTATCTTCCTAATTTCCTGTGATATATTCTGCCTTTTTTTTTCCCCCCCATCCCTAGTGTGTGCCCTGCGGAGGAGCTGCCCTTCGAGGACGCCTCGGTCGACCTCCTCGCTTCGTTCACGGCCGCGCACTGGTTCGACATCGAGAAGTTCATGAGAGAAGTGAGCCGCGTGGTGAGGCCGGGCGGCTGCGTGGCCATCAGCACCTACACCGTGGACATGAGCCTGCACTACGGAACCTGCTCCGAGAAGCTGACCCAGATCTTCAGGGAGGTGAGGGATGAAACCCATGCCTCGGGGCTTCCCCTGCTGGCCTGGGCAAGGAAAAGGTGCAGGGAGGAGGAGCACCGGGCTGGTGGGTGCAGCCAAAGGACCCCCACCCAACAGGGGATGGATGGGGCAGAGCCGTGCTTATGGCTGGAATAAAAGAGTGCTTATGTTCTCGATGCTGAGCAAGGTGTTGCATTTTAAATGCAAGCAGTTAAAAGTGAAGGAAAAAAAATCATATGCCTCAGATCTAGGGCTAAACAAGTCCGAGATAAGTAGAAACCGAGTGTTTCAAGTGCTTTTGTTTATTATCTGTCTCCACAGACCTGGGGGCAGCTCTTAAAATACTCACATAACAGAGTAAAACACGTCCTGGAAGACTACAAAGAGATATTCGAGGCCTTGCCATTTCCAGACAAGAAGAGGTGAGCAGAAACTCCTTGGTGCATCACTACGGGGGGGCAAAGGTGGCAGCCTGCGGGGACACCACTCTTGCCCCATCAAATGCTGTGCTGTTTCCCTCTCCTGGACCTCTGAGAATGCCATGTGTCACCTGTCACCACCCCAGCCTGCAGTCATCCTCGCTCCACTGCCTGCAGTTTGTTTGCCAATGCTCTTTTTTTTTTCCCATTTTTTTTTCTAGAATCACTGACATCTACGACAAAATTCCCATGACGGTCGCTGGTGTGGTTGGGTACTTAGAGTCCGCCTCTCCCTACCAAGTCTTCCTGAAGAACGACCCCGAAGCTGCAAAAACCCTCCTCCCGGAGATGGAAAAGAGGTAAAAAGTGCTCAGGAAAATGAACAGGGCATGGAGACCCCCTCTCAAACAGCAAACGGGGAGAGGTTGTGGGGCCCCTCCAAAGCTGAAGTAACACAGCCCTCGGTGTGCATCTGCAGCCCAAGCTTCTGTGCTTTGGAGATGCTCTGAGTGGGGAAAGTCTGCTCTCCGGCTGTGGATGTTGTCCCGTGTCTGGTGAGAGCTGGCCAGACGGCGGGAGACCCTTCTCTGCTTCTTGCAGGTTGCTGGAGGTGATGGGGGTCCCCTCGCCCGAAACCCCCCTGGAGTTCTGGGTGAGGCACGTCTGCATACTGGGGCACAAGGAAGCGTGAGAGCAAAAGCCTCTGGTGCTGGAAGGGGAGGAAAAGGAGGATTTCCTAACACCCTGCTCTTACTCCCTGGGAAAATTGGATATTTGGGTGATTAAAGCCTTAAAAATCCTTAACCTTCTGTGGAAAGCAGATGGGGGTTGAATGCAAGACCCTGTCTGTGCTGCAGTCCTGGTTCTGCCCAGCGCTGCTCCGTTGGTGCTGGGAGGGTCCCATGTGGCCGACGTTCCTTAGACAATTAAAATAAATAAAATAAAGTTCCCTGTGGCCGCTTCTTCACAGAGCATCTGCTGGGGTGAGAGTAACCGGGCTTCATGAGCACTGCTCCCCGGGGACCTGCTTTTTGGGTGGGTAGGCTCTAATCTGCGTCTCTGCAGAAGAGGCCAGTTTCAGACGTGTAACTTAGCCAGTTTTTGAAATAATTCATCCTCCTCTTGCCTTGGGACATTTCTTCTGTTGGGTGCAAAGACAGCACGGGTGGCTCGTGGGCCCCAGTCTCAGTGGCATTTCTGAGAAACACGAGGGGTGGGAGGCCCTGGGTGCCCCCCGAGCTGCTCCCTGGGCTGGGAGCTGCAGCTTTTCCCACCGAAAAACGCATCCACACATCACACGCTTTCGAAGAAAAGCACTCGGCCTGCAAGCGAACAGAAACTTGAGGTTGCAGCCCAGGCCTCCTGCTAACCAGGGTGACCTTTTAGCCTGCTTCTCTGCAGCTTTTTGCCTCCTGGGAACACGCTGGGGGTTTGCTCTGTCACGCAACACAGCTGGGAGCTGTGTGGTGCCTGTGGAAGCCGCCCAGAAGCTGCTCAGCCCCAGCGCGGCAGCTGCTGTGGTTTCTGAGCCTCTCTGGGTTTGTTCCTAGAAGGGAATGTTTGCACATCCCTTTAACCCAACCTTGTTTTTTTTTTATCTGCTCCGCAAACCAAACATATGGGCTGTGTTTGAGAGGCAGTGATTCAAAGCCGGGTCTGCACCAGTACCCCACACCTCCTGTTTGCTTTCTGGAGGCCTTGAGTCTCTGTGGGGCCTTTTCCCTTTCCTGTAAACCCGCAGCGAGCTCCAGGAGGTGTCCAGCTGTGGGCCCACCATGGGCACGGGGAGATGGAGCCTCTGCTACCTGCTGGTGGTGCTCGGCCCTGGGCACGTCCCCGTCGGGATGCCAGGGGCCGGTGCCACGGGGCTCAGCGTGCCTGGGGGGAAGCAAAGGCTGTGGCTGCCAGGAGGATGGGAGGTCCTGGGAGGAAAGCCCTGTGCTTCCCCGAAATCCCAATGGGGCTGGGGCCCTGTGCGTCCTTGCAGCACCTGCACAAAGCCTTTAGGGGAAAAAAACACGAGGCTTTAAGCTCACTGCAGCTTGTTGGAACAGCTCGCTGCCTGGCTTTCCCATAAAGGGCCCTTCCCCCAGTGCCGGTGCCGGAGGGGTGACGCCGCAGGTGAGCTGCGGTGACGGCAGGGCAGGGCTTGCATCACTGGAGCAGGCTCTGGCACCGCAGCTCCAGGTGGCACCAGCGGTGGCCACCTGATGTCCCCGCCCCTGTGCCCCTTGGACGGCGGCGGGCAGGGCTCCGGCTTGTTGCCCGTGGTGCTTTTTGCGTTTTCGGGGCTGTTTCATTCCTTTTTGGGGGCTTTTCCAAGACTTTGTCTGACCAGCTCCAAGAAGGGTGGGAAGAAGCAGCCCCGTCCTGTCCCGTCCCTTCCATCCTGCCCCAGCCCCGTGCCAGCCTCCTGCTGAGTCACGGAGCCCTTCCTCACCTGGCACGGCACCCAGCCTGCAGCCCTGCCCCTTTCGCTTTCCTTTCCATGCCTGGGAATCTCCTGCGTGTTTGGGATTCCTTGCTCTGGAAAAAACGCTGAGCCAGCCCTCACGCTGCTTTTTTTTATGGCTTTTGGAGCTGTTTCTGGACTGGGACGTGGAAATACTTCTGTGGTGCTCGATACATTGACAGCACGGCCGATGAAAATTGGGAGCAAGCAGTTCCTTAACGCGGCATAGCTGCCCCTTTGCTTGTGGGATGGAACAAATGGGTGAGGGGCTGCATCGCTGCTGCCTCTGCTGCTCTGAAGCCCCGCTGGGCTGGGCATGGTGCCCCCAGCCCACGGTGGCTTTGGGGACGCTGTGCAGTGACACCCCGCTGCGGTGGCCTGAGCTGGCATCGGCACGGTTCGGAGGAGCCGTGCCCAATGCAGCCGGGCTCGGGGTACGTCCCAGCGCGGTGTTGCTGCCCGAGACATCCCCTGCTTGAGCAGGATTTGGGGTTTCACCGCTCTTACCGTGGTGGCAGGCCACGTGGAGCGTGCATCCCTGCTCTGCTTTTGCTTTCCCTTTGGCACCCTGGGATTTCCTGCGCGAAGGTGTGACGTCTCCGTCTGCTCTTCCAGCCCAGAGCGGCGCGTGCATGACGAAAGCCGCCGCAGCGATGACGAACCAAACCCAATGAGCAGCACCTGAGCCTGCTCCTGCCCCTGAGCGCCGCTGCCAGCAATGGGCTCTGCGGGGTTTTTTTGGATCGTGGTGGGGATGGGGCTGCGGGAGCAGAGCTGGACCCGAGGGAAGGGTAACCTGGCTCGTTGCCCCTTCTGCCTCCTCGCCGGGAGGGGACAACGCTCCGGCCACGTTGGGGATGCAGCAGGGGTGCATCCCAAGGGTGGCCCCACAGCTGAGGACACACGCTTCCTCCACCAGGGAAGTGTTTGTGCTTACTCCTCCTCTCGGGATTTTGCTACAGCACTTTGTATAATTGATGATCTGTGCCTTGCTTGGGAAGCTGACGTGAAGTTATTTGTGCCGCTTTGGGCTTGTATTCCACAGCTGTTACCAACTGTGAGCAACCTGCTTTGAATAAAAGTTTTTCTCCAAATCTGTTTGTTTCTTTAACTGGACAGAAAGGAAAGAAGTTTCCCACTCGTGGAGAGCACAAGCTAACGAACCAAGCCCTGGCTGCGCCTCAGGCTTTTAATTACTGACCTTGTTAACGAGTGGCACAACCCGCTGCTGCGGGGAGGCTGGTGGGAGTCCCACCCGTGCCCACCGTGTTTTATTTCTGTGTCCGGGGCCAGCAGGCTGTGGGCACAACCCCAGACATGTGGCAGGCTGCCTAAATACCCGCAAACACTTCTGTACTCCGGGCACTGGCACGGGATGCTCAGAGCTGTGTTAACACCATCCAGGTGTTAGCCAAAACCATGCACCTGCTGCAGCTGCCCCTGCTTTTTGTACACACACAGGGATACTTTGCCATATTTAATGGTTGATTAATGCACAAAACAAAAGGCATTTATTGGTTCTCACCTCAGGCTGCCTAGAGGAGAGGGCAGCTTTTGGCTACGTGGGTGCATTTTTATGGTGGCAAACAGGCGAGCGCGTTATTCGGTGCCGCGCTAGCGCAGAGCTGCTCTTTACACACACACACAGGGTACGTTTTGTCACAAGTACTGATGAATGAACGCACAAAACGGAGTGTGATTACGGCTTCAGGGCTCAGGCTGCCCCGAGGAAGGCGCAGCTTCTTCTTGTGCAGGCGTGTTCTTGTGCGGCTGCCATGGGAGCGCCGCGTTCAGCATTTCCCACGTCCCGCTGGAGAGGGAGAAGAAAACCCACACGCGGCACCGCAGGATCCCACCACACCCCCAGCCCCTTCCCAGCCGCCACGTCCCCGCAGTGCCCTCACCTGCAGGCACACCTGCAGCCTGGGCTTTCCTCGCAGGCGCTTTCACTTTCCTGTCGCGGAGCCGCCGCGCCGCGGGTTTTCCTGCCAAGGTGAAAGCGCGGCACTGCCCGGCTGCTTAAAAGCCGGGGAGATGGGGCAGAGCGGCAGGTTCGAGAGACAGCACAGCTCTGGACACAAGAAACGAGGACTCGAGGCGTCTCGAGGGATTTCGTGGGTTCGGACACCGGTCGTCCTCTCCTCCTCCTATCTTTCTGGATCTTTGCATCCTTGTCGCAGCTGGACACGAAGATGCTGTGCCCTGTGTTTGCCGCGGTGCTGGTGGTGGGCCTGGGGCCCCTGCTGGCGGGCGCCTTCCCCCAGGCTGCCCTGAAGAAGAGCTGCCGCCTCTCCCAGTACGGATCCCCGGCGTATTCCGAGCTGGCGGAGGTGCTGAAGTTTAAGAAGTACTATGTGAGTACCGACAGCAACCTGGGGCTGCGGGGCTGGGCTGAATCTCGTCCTGCTTTCAGAGCTCAGGAGGGGGACGGGGGTTGCACAACTGCAGCCCCAAGCCAAAGGGCAGCTTTCTAACCTGCCCCCACCCCTCTTGTGTTACAGGAGAACATCACGTCGAAGGACTCCAAATGCAGCACCAGGCTCTTCAATCGGAAGTGGACACCCAACGAGCTGTCGGTAAGGGTGATGCCAGGGAAGGGGGACCCCCTCCACCCACCCCCCGGGGTGGCTTTCCACCAGCTCCACCGCTTCTCAGGGTCCGTAACCACCCCGCTCCTGCCCGCAGGTGCCCGACCGACTCCTCCTGGTGGAAGCCGAGCTGGACCTCACCATCGCCGTGCTGGCACACCCCACAGTCGACAAGCTGGCCGAGAAGAGCCAGCAGCCCCTGGCCTTCTTCACCCAAGCCCGGGAGGACCTGCGAGGCTGCGTGAGTGTCCCCCTGGGTCGGGAAGTGGCCCCAGCTCGGTGGCACTGACGGGTGCCAGTGGCAGCGCCGCGGGGCATCGCCGGTCCTTACCCGCACGCTCCCCTTGCAGGTGGCCGCTGAGGCTCCTTCGCATCAGCCCTCTGGGAAGCTGAGGCACTGGCTGCAGAAGCTGGAGACGGCCAAGAAGACGGTAAGACAGGAGGCTGGGGAAGAAGGCTGATGGGGTTTCAGGGGTCCCCTGGCAGACACCTCACCACTTCGGGTCCAAATCATTAAGAAGCGGCCAGAAAGGCCTCCCCATGGTGCCCCCAGCCATGGCTCGAGCCCCATCCGTGCCCGCGGTGTGCTCACCTCCTCTTCTCCCTCCCCAGGAGACCGCCAGCTGCCTGGAGTACTCCACCATCGTCCACCTCTTCCAAGTGCTGCACGACCTGGGGTGCGTGGCCATTCCGGAGCGGTGCACGTAGCCTTTTCTTCCTGCCTTGCCTTACGGACGCCCGGCTGCGGTTTCCTGTTTAAGCACTTGGCTTTTTTACATGAGCTCAGGGAGCGATTTTTTAACAGTCTTTTCAGTTATTGTCTATTTTATTTTTATTTTTAATTGTGTATTTATAACGTCTTAGGAAGACGTAAAGAAATGCCCCTTCTGACAGGTACTGCTCAGCGGGGTTGAATGTATTTATTGCATGTCTTTGTTTTGCTGGTTGTCAGAACACTGACTGTTTTTAAAGAAATCTATTTTTGAGCTTGCTATTTATTGCACACTGTATTATGTATGTTTGCCTGCATAGATAATATATTTTTGTACGCTATTTAACATGAAAAATAAAATAGATACCGTAAAACTGACAAGCCGCCATCCTGTCTTCCCTATATGTTGTTATAATATCATCCTGTCGGAATTATTTAGGGGTGGGGAGGACACCACAGAGAAACTTGGGCATTTAGAAATCGGCAACACCTCGGTCCACCTGCTGATGCCAGATTTGTGGTGCTGCAGGGGGACACCGAGGGGAAGGGACCCCCCAGGTGCTGGCTGCAGGGGATTGGGCTCACCCTGGAGACTTCTGCACAGCTGCGAGCAATTTGCTCGTTCCTCTGCTGCAGATACAAGAAAGGGTGGGCAAAGGGATGTTGTGGAAGAAGAGGTTTTGCTGGAAGGTGTTTTAATACTGGAATTAAAGAGGAAAGATAATCATCTGTGGGACTGTGCTGACTTTGAGGGCATTTTGAATGAGGAGTGGCCAAAATGAGCCTCTAGTTCTTTTTCCTGGAGACTCTGAGCTATGGCCTTGACCCATTCAGGCCAGAAGGGACCTGAAGAGCATCTGGTCCAGCTCTGGAGTCAGGGCAGGCTGCTCGGGGACAGGTCTGGGTAAGTCACGAGCATTTCCAGGAAGAAGGATTTTGCAGCATGAACCATGGCTAGGAAAATGAAAACTGACGGCCCATCACTTTGGTAGGAAAACAGCTTTAAGGACCTGAAAAAGCAGGTAAAAAACAGAGGGAATTGGTTCTTACACAGGGGTATAAGTGGGCTATGAAGAAAAGCCTTGCTCAAGATTATTTTATTCCTATTGGAGGGGAGGAAAAGCCTTATCCAGCTTGTTGTGGAACAGCCACTTTGTGCTGTCATTGCCTCCCCCATGGGAAAGACATCATGTTGCAGAGAAGTCTGAGAGTTAAGGGTGGAGGGGAAAAAAAAGTGAGTTGTGGGGTTTGTTGCCACTTGTTTTTGTACCCTGAGCCTCATGGGAAGACCCTCGCCAGGTAAAAGTGCTTGGCTGTCTTTGCAGCAAACCCAAAATGTGTCTGTGAGCTGTGCCTACCAGGAAAAGTCATGAAGTGCCTGCTCCGGAGTGAGATGCTCCAGGTGCCCTTACTGACCTCCAGCGTGGATGTCTTCCTTCTTCCTGGTCTGAGCTTCTTAAACTTGGCTGGCTCAAAAGGTAGCCGACAAATGCTGCAGCTGCTTGTGCCTCCTTCTGCTGCCTGGGCGGGACTTTTGTTTCAATCTCTTTTGTTCCTGAAAGATCAAGATAGAGGATTACAGATCGAATTCTCTAACTGCAGCACTATAACGATAGCTCAAGCCGCTCTGTTTAAAACAAAACAAAAACCTTAATCACTAGTGAACTCCTTGCTTACTAATACGCTAGCTGCTGGTGCTCTTCATGTTGTAACTTCTCCTCCTGCTTCGTTTCACTGCATTTCATAATTCAGAATAACAGCTCCCATCTCTCAGAAATTGCACTGGGACCAGGAATTGTTTAGTCACGGGCCTGGGGATTCAAGGAAACCCATTTGCTTTCAATCTGCTTTGACATGAAAGATCATTTGACAAAAAACCTTCACCTTTTTGTGCAGATGACTTGCAGCTACCTGAGAGACTGTGTGTTGTTTTTTTTTTTTTTTCCAGTGCTTTGCACCAGAAGAACAGGCTGAGAGGTGGCTGCTGACAGCTGCTGGGACTCGAGGCTGCTGTGTGAGCTAGTAACGATCGCCTTCCTTGCTTCCTTCTACTCCAGAAGTCTCCTTTTGGGCATTACCTTTGCTGCCACGACCCAGCCCCATTTCCTCGCCTTCGCTGCAGCAAAGCCCTCTGCCTGTTTTGGATAAACAGCCTGAAACCATCGGGGTTGGCACTGATGGACTGGACAGATAAAGGTAATGACCTCTGAGAAGGAATGAATGAGAAATATTGATGGAGAAAAGCTTCACTGAAAAAAAAATGAAGATGAAAAGGCGAATGAGAACAAGCCAGGATGAAGAAAGGTTCTTTCTTTTGTCCTAGGGCTGCAGGCAAAACGTGGCCTCATAATCAGAGCATCACCCCAGTGTTTTGTTCCCTGGTTTTAGCAGTGCTCTGAGGAAGCAGCAGCTAAACTCCAGGTCACTGCCGTGCCTGATAGGTATCAGCAGAGAAACACTGATTTAATCAGAGGCTTGCAAGGTTGTTTGTTATAAAATACACACCAAATCCCAGCTGCTCATCAGGAGACAGCCTACGGGGCCGTTTTCCCCTGTTCTTGGCGTGTTTCTTCCCCGGTGCTCTGCTCACAAACCACCCACGGTGACTTTAGGGGCTGGCTTTCCATTAGGTGACACTGCAAGAACTCCTAAAACCCCTTTTTAATGCGACTTCATTAAAGCGGCGTGTGGAAAAACGCTCTGACGTTGCCATCATGACCATAATTACATTACAGGGATCTGCTCTTTTTCCAGACGGCTCGCAGCGGATGCAAGCTGAAGGGTGCGGGAGGCAAAGCCCTGCACGTGGCCACCACCCCAGGTACCTCACATCGGAAAGATGCACTTTTTCTTAGCTATCTAGCCCCAAATTAGCAGCTGCAATAGCGTGAGGGCCCATTGCTACAGCTACTGTCGCACAGCATCCTCTCCGATGCTCCACAGCCACTTTTGGGGGCGGTGTGAGAGGTCAGCCTCTAACAATTTCATATGAAAGTGCAGTGCTCGTGTTTGAGAGACGGAGGGGGAAAAGACAGCAGGGTTAAACCCAAAGAAGCAAACGAGGTAGAAAGCAAAGACCTGGTGAGCACTTCTCCTGCCACGCCAGGGATTTCTGTGCTGCATGCTCCCTGGCTTCCTTCCCTCTTTAACCACTGCAGATGGTGCGATGGTACCACGATGCTTTCATCTCCATCCTTAAAATCAGATGCCCTACCTAAAGAGAGACAAATGAGATACAGCCTTAACCTGCCTCTCCATAAAGGCTTAAAAACATGTGGCCTTTTCTATCGAGGTTTAACCTCTTCTCTTCTGTGGGCAAAATGCGTTCCTTGCTCTCCTGGCTTGCAGAGCACTTCTGAGCCTCCTCGAGTGAGCCCAGTGAGGCTGACAAGGCTGTTAGGAGGGAGAACAGCGCGCTGCTAATTTGCAGCATCTGCAAGGCTAATTGCTCAAGGGAGCAGGAGAGGGAGAAGGCCAAGTTTCTTAATGGTACGTGGGATGTAATCACATCATTGTCATCCTACGTCCCATTGTTTCCCACCCCGCCCTCCCTTCTGACTAAGCAAGCGCCCCAAGGCGTTGGAGAAGAGCATGACGTTGTTCCACTTTTACTTTTCTTTTAGGAAAGTCGTCAGTGTTGCACTTTGCCCAGCGATTTTCCACTAGTGAAAGTCCTCGCTCCTCTTTTCTTGTTTCTACTCCTTCTCCTTACTTGCTTCTCGTTCTTGTAGGGCTCATTTCGGATCACCTCTACCTTTCTGGTGCTTCTTTGTGGCAGGGTCTTCTACTTCACCTTTCGGTAGCTGGAGTGTGTTTGGATAGAGAGCTGGAGTTTATAAAGGAAGAGCACAGAAAAGCTGTGCTTAGGAAAGCCACGAGGGAGTTTCTGGCTTCATATGAGAAATCACAATTGCCCATCAAGGCAGGAACTGACACCTCTAACAAAACACAGACTTCTCTGCTTCATCCAGCAGAGAGAAGTATGGGTTAAATAAAAGCTTTAAAAAAAAAAAAAAAAAAAGACCAAAAAGGACAAAAGAAACCATAAATATTCTTACATAGAGGGATAGTTTAAATGCAAGATGTTTGTTTCATCTCTCTCTAGCTTCAAGAACAGTGGCTGCTGGACAATGAGAAACGGTCGGCTCATTATCTGAAATCCAGTACAGGCAGAGTCTTGGTTTTGTGTGACATACCAGGTGGTGTCTGGAACTGCTCAGAATTTTGCTGTGTGGAACACGGAATATTTTCCAGGTTAAAGAAACAGCGATGGGGAAATGAAACATGAATGTTTTCTTACCGTTATTTTCAACTAGTCACCAGGTAATAAGTGATGCAGAGATATAAATATAGATCTTATATCATGAAACTGCTTAATAAACTGCAATTATTTCCTGAGGTGCTAAACAATTTCAGACTCTTCACCTCTTCAGCAGCTCTGAAAATACCTAGTTTTGATTGCACAAACATGCTATCAACCCACTGGGAAAGTTTTCACTGGGGCAGTTTGACTGAATCAGCCTTTGAAAATCAAGGTCCTCTACTTGTTGCAGAAAGTATTTCCCAAGATCCTGGCTTCCTCACTCTTGGGTGACTGAGGGATTAGCTTCAGGAGCATCTTTCACTGCAATCTTGAGTCTCAGGGATAAAAAGAGGTGAGAGAATAAGGAAAAACAAACAAACAAACAAAAAAACAGTAAACTGTAAAACACAAAGCAAAAGAAGGAACAAATATGAGTTTAGAAAATATGCCTTTAGGAAGTGTGTGCATGTGCCACGTATCCCTTGTGATGCCTATTTTGTTAATATGACATTAATTTCATTTTTAGCAGACTACCTTTTGTACAGGACCACGGTAAGAACAGGAGACTCTTGCTTCCAGCAAACAGCACTGCTGCCTTGCAGCCTGCACTGTCTGAAGAAAATGAGTAACCAGGCCGTGGCTTCAGATTAATCTGATTTTCAAAGATTTTTCTTCACGCTGCAGTGAATTGGAACTGTTAAGTGGTTCCAGAAGGTCACAGAACATCAGATGCTGAGTTCTGCTCATCTCTACTCAGAGGAATTGGTGGAGGGTGCAAGGAGACCTGTCACCGTTACAGCCTGTGCCAGACAATATTGGCTCGCCTTTAATTAGTCTTTAGAGGAGGCAGCAGTTTGTTGACAGCACCTTCATGAATTGGCTCATAAAAATATTTTATTAATCTCAGAACAGGTCACGGCCACCAGATATTAACTGAACTGCCGTACTGTGGAAAGAGGGAGGACAGCTGTTGGTACCTGAAGATAAAATAGAAAGGAGGTTTCTTGGCTTTCCTGAAGGAAGCACATTTTGGATTGGCCCTTACACAGCAGCTGAGTTTGGCTGTTTAGTTTGGATGGGGCATCTTAAGGCTTATAAATAATAACACTTGTGACTCTGGCCTGCTCGCTGAACTTTGAGCTTTGGTAGTGGGCAGTGCTTTCCACAAGAGAATCAAACCAGCAAAAAAGCAGATGATATACATCAGTATCTTGAGCCTTCAAACTTGTCTTTTTCAGGCTGTTGCCATTTTGAGGCAAACATTTAAAAGCCAGGAAATGGCAGTGCTGAGGTTGCCTTTGCAGCCTCTGTTTGCACCAGCAAGCGTTATGACGGAATCTGCCGTGTAGGACTGAGTCTGCTTCAGAGCATGAAATGGCTTTGGCTTACTGATGCTGAAGGTGCAACTATCCTCAAGCCATCTTCTCATTTCCTGACTGCATTGGAGGTTTGGAAGCAGAATTACGCAGAGGCATTTCTAGGCACCCACTGCCAGGCACCGCCAGGGAGGAGGCAGACCAGGCAGCCTCCTGCATCTCTGCCGCTATCCCATGGGCTCATTTTGGGTCTGTTTGTGCTTGGGTTCACCTGCAATCAGAAAAACAAACTGAGGTGTAGCTTTCTAGATATCTTTTTAGATTATTTTCCCCTTAAAGTTGGCAGTTTTTAAGCATCCCAGGTGGTACGTGTGGAACAGCTATGGAGATGGGTAGGAAAGGGACTGCTATCTTCATGGTCTCTAACCACTGTCAGCATATATACATGTTTTGGTGGGATTTTATTCCCTCTTGCTTTCTACTCTGCTGAAGACAGAGAGCAGCAGGCAGGTTTTTCTAAGCACTTCCTTCATTTTTCATCTCCAGATTTTTTCTGTCTAAAAACAATTTTTTTTTTTTTTTAACAATCTTTTCCAATAACCTTGTGAAAGGGTTAAGACACTATAAGGTTTCTGAGTTGTGGCTCTCCACTGGATTAATTAGATTTGACTGAGCTAAATTCTTTTCTTGTTTGTTTTGCTTTTTTGTTTGTTTGTTTTGTTTTATTTTTCTTCAGTAAAGGAGAAGCAGTATTATTCCTGTGATGTTTAGGAAGTAATAAGCATTTTAATAGTGGCCTGCCAATCCTTCCTTGTGTCTGGTCTCTGGCTTTGCTTTATCAAACCTTTTAACCTGGAGGCTTCTCTAATTGCTTCATTTTGGTTCCCCTATTCATTGCATGCTACAGGCTGGAAGAAGAATTCAGCGTTATACGTGTAGTTAAGTTTTATGGGTCACAGCCTGATCTGGGATGATTGTGCAGGTTTCTAAAGATCGCAGTGGTGAAATTAGCCCAGACTCAGGACACTAAATAGTCACTTTCACACAGAAACAGAGGTTTGGGCTGGGAATGAGGAGATATTTCTGTCAGAAAGAGAAATGCCAGGTGCTGGGGTGGGCTGCCCAGGGAGGTGGTGGCGTCACCGTCCCTGGTGGTGTTTGAGAGGCTGGACGTGGTGCTTGGGGACACGGTTTGGTGGGCGATGGTGGTAGTAGGGGCTGGTTGGACCAGCTGATTTGGGAGATTTCTTCCAATATTACCAGTTCCGTGACTTTATGCCACAATTAAACCAACACCGCGGCCCCCTCCCACCCCCACAAAATGGCGGCGGCCAGGGCCGGGCGCTCCCGCCTCCCGTGTGTCACCACACGACATCTCGCGAGATCTCAGCGGCGGGCGGGGCTGCGGGGCGAAGGGGGGGCGGTGGCAGCGCGGGGCCCCGCCCAGTTCCGGCGCGGCGGGCGGGCGGTGCGGCAGGAGGAGGAGCCGCCGCCGCCGCCCCTGCCCCGGGCCGGCCCCGGGGCTGGCCTTGGCCCCGCAGCCGGGCCCTGACGCGGCGCTCAGGTAGGTGCCGGCCGCCCCCCGCCGCCCCCGGGCCGGACCCGGCCTCGGCAGCCGGCTGCGGGCTGGCCCCGGGCGGCCGCGGCCCTCCAGGCCTCGGGGCCGGGCCTTGCGCTGCCCCCCCCCCCTCCCTTTAACCCCCGGGTTCCGCGGGCGCCCTCTGCGCCTTTCCGTGAGGCAGCGGGGGGGGGAAACTGCCCCAAAACACCGCGTGGGGCTCGGGTCTGGGCTGTGCTTAACCTCTGCCTTGAGCCCGGCGCGTGTGCCTGGCCTTCCTGTGCACAAAAATTATATATTGTACCTTATTGTGCCGTATTACACCTTATTGTACCTTATTACACCTTATTGTACCTTATTATGTCTTATTACACCCCACTGTGCCTCACTGTACCCCACTGCACCTCGCCGTGCCCCCCCAGCTGCCGCCCAGCTGCGCGCTGCTTCAGGACGCATTTTCCTCCCAACCCCTGTTAATTATCTCCCTCTGGTTCATCGCCACCTTCCCCACGCCCAGCTGTCGCTTCTCTTCTGCCCTGCCCCCCTGTCCTTTCAGCAGTGGGGGCCGTTTGGTCTTTGCTTTAACCCCCCCCCAGCTTCCCCAAGGGCCTGGAGGAGCAGTGACGGGGCTGGCAGGCCAGGGAGGGTTTTTCCTGCTACCTGTTTTCTCCGGGACAGAAGCAGATAAGCAAGGGAAACAACCGCTGCCGCAGCCGAGCTGATAAACTTCAGGGCTGGCTTACACGAGTGGAAGAAGCACCCAGAAAAACCTCGCATCGAGCCTTGTCACTTTTCATTTTGCTCGTCTTCTTCTTAGTGGTTTCCTTCCCTTGCCTGTGTCATGTTTTGGCTGATTCTGTTCCATATCATGAAAGCTGGTGTTAGGTGAGCATCCTCTTCGTGTCCTGGTGCCTGCTACGCCGTACCTGGCTGCTCTTCTGTTCCAAATACTTTGTGTAAAGGCTGCTGACTTTTTACGAGCTTTTTGCCTTTATTTTGCTCAATTAACTTATATGACTAAAGAATAAATGTTACCCCAATTTCATGGTGGTAGGGCCTGAAGGGTATTGGTCTCGTTAGCGTTATTTTGGCTTTGGCCATGCTGGTAAGGAGAACAAATTGCCTTCCAGCAGGGGCAGGGTGTCTCAAGGCACAGCAGGTGGAACATTTCCTTTTGACTTGGGCTTTGTGCCCACCTTTGGTTGCAAGTTATTTATCATCACAGTTACCTTCTGATAACTGATGTACCGCATCTCTCTCTCCATTTCAGCCACCAAATCTCTGTACATAATTTCCTCTGCCCTGTGGGGAGCGCTGGGTGTTACTGCTGTGCACTTGCAAATAAAATCGTGCTCCTTGCAGTCCAGACCCCTTCCCTTCCTTGTGTCCTGCTCGCTGACTCAACGCTTGCTTCCCAGCGCCACGGAGCAGTTCCAGGAACCCCTCCCCTCCCTTCCCTCTGCTCTTTGGCCAGCCAAAAAGTGTTGTCACGAGGGACATGGGCGAGGATGGTCCCAGCGGGGGGATTCTCTCTGTAATGCTTTGGATTCTCTCCACAACTCTTTTTTGAAGGGCTGATGTGAAGCTGGGGTGCGCTGTGGAGATGGAGCAGCGAAACGAGATTGTAAACAATGATGAAAGCCTGAGCTTTCTCCGGGAAAACTGAACTTCCTCTTGGCCTCACACGCTGCAACTCCCTCAGCATTCATCTCTGAAACAAACCCGCATTCTTCAAACACCCTGCTCCATCCACGGCTCTAACAGCAGCCGCTAACTGCGTGCATCTCGGTCTTTGAGTGCTGAGAACATCATCGTAGTTGCAGAATGTGGCTGACCGTAGCCTATTTTTGTATTATTTCCCTTAGTTCTTTGGGTTTTGGTAATCAGCTTTGTTCTGATTTCTGTTCTAGACTGAAGGCAGCAGTAATGCTAACGCTGGCAAGCAAGCTGAAGCGGGATGATGGTGTCAGAGGACCCCGTACGTCCAGTCCAGCTTCTGACTCGACTCGGAGGGTGTCTGTTCGAGACAAACTGCTGGTTAAAGGTGAAAGGAGCTTACACTGAAATGTCGTGGGTTTACAGCTTACAGGTCTCCAACAGTAAATCTGGGGTAAAATGATTTCCAGAAGTATTCTTAAAGCTGTTTGTGACTTGCTTCGTGATTTTGAGTGCAGGGTATAGATGTGCATACATCAGACCTCCAACGGTGCCCTGCCTGCAGGACAGTGATTTTCTTTGGATAATGCACAGCCTAAAAACCTTCCCCCTTATGCTGTTGAAAAATTAATCCATCATTGGGAACTGTACAGTGTCAAGTTATGATAAAATGTTGGCCCAGAAGTGTTGCTAGATATATAGGAGAAGAGTATCATTTGACTTGACAGGAAGGTATTTTTTGAGCAAAAACCGTAACAACTGCCTGTGAGAGGAAAGTAAATCCTAAAACTAGCACCAGTGTTCTGCTAGTCATTAATGGTGTAAGATAAGAGTCAATAAACTTTAAAAAGTGTTAAAAAAAACAAAGGCCTACACAGAAAGATTTTTCTTAGGCCTGGAGTCTGGAAGTTGGGTAAGAAGTAGAGAATGGAGGGGGGAAAAAAAAGCTACATTTTGTAGAACCAGGTTGCCCCTGTAGGTTGTCCAAATTTTCTCTCTGCGTTGCTCCGAGGACAAGGAGTTTCAATTCACTTTAAATTCTGATTAACTCTTGTGAAGAGCTTGCTTTAGACTTCCAGTTCGGTGTTGTATCTGGACCAGCATGGTTCCTTGCACCACGGTGTGATATGGAACTGAAGTAGCCAGTTGTAAGCACAACTTCGGGTGGCTGTGATAGATTTGCAAGGAAGTTAGTGGGAGCCTGGCAGAGTAGTGGTAAGGAGAGGCTGTTGGTGATGTTTGGATGGGCTGCAGGTATCAGATGTCAGCTCCAGAAAGGGTGAAAGGCCAAGCTCTGTCTCCTGGCAGCTGGGAATTAAAAGCTGTGAATTAAATAGCATTCCTGGATCCTTTCTGGCCTCACGTTGGGCCAGAGCTTCTGAGGCAACAGGAGAGCAGCAGGTACTGGGTCCACGCAGCACTCACCCAGCAGCTGACACGTGGTGGGCTGCCTTGGAAGCGTAGCTGAGGGTGATTTTGGAGCAGCACCCTAAATCCCACCTCGCTCTAGGAGCTGGCAGTATGTGCTGAGGTCTGATAGCTGCCCGCTTGGTGACACTGCCCTGTGGAGAGATGTTTTCCTCTTCCCAGTCCGTGCAAAGCTGGTGAGTGTCTCTTTAGCCCTGTAGGCAGGTGTCTGGGGGTGTCACCCACACACGGGACCTTTTATCTGGGGGTAAGGACAGCCGTGTTGGTGCTGACAGGGAGCACGGTCTGGGGAAGTGTTGCAGGATCCCCTTGAAGGATTCATTTGTCACGCCGATAACCCTGCGGTGCTCGCTGTGTTGGGTACACGGGCTGGTAAACACAGCAGTGGCATTTGGAGTCGGGGTTAGATGGCCTTGACCTCCGCTGCTGATAAATGCAGGCGGTGCTTTCACACTGAAAAACCGAGTGTGGCCAGCTGCACCTACCTGCAAACTGTGAGCAGCCGTGGCTCAGGCTGCTGTGCTGTTGGGTTATGCCAGGGCACGTTCTGGAGGAAGAATCCCTGTCCCTAAAGTTTTGTGAAGGGAAGTCGTTCAGAGACAGCTGGGTCTTCCTCCACAGCTGCTTTTTCCCTGGGGTGATGAAGTCGTGGTTTGGAAGCAGGCTGTCCCCTGGTGATCATCCCTGCAAATACCAGAGCACGTTTAGGTTCTGTGACGTTAATATTATCTAATCAACACGGCTACTAAATTGGATCAAAAACAAAGGGCATGTCAGCAGCAGCCCCGTGTCTGCTTCTTGATCACAAAGGCTGTCACTCAAACCGCTTTTGTTTTTTGTTGCTCTGCATCTAAGCAGCATCTGGTTTTATCTCACCACCGCTGCTTAGCTTGATTGCAAGTGACAGCTTGAGCTAACTTAATTTCTAAGAAAGCAAGTTAGCGTGCTTTATTCCTCCGTCTTCAGCACGTCTGGGTTTGCAACCAGATTTAGGCAGCCTGAAAGTGTCAGGTGTGTACGAGCCTGAAAGAAACCAAGTGGGAAACTGGCCTCAAAAAATGAGATAGATTCCTCATAAAAATTAGGAGAATCCCAAGATTGGCTTTTTTCAAGCCTTCAGGTACAGTACTATCCCTTGTCACAGTAGTAGGCGAGGAAAATAGAGAGATGAGAATAAAATTGTATTTTTGAGAATAAAAAGACCTTTCTTCGTTAGCACTCCTGAGATAATCTCAGGTGTTGTTTTGAAAATTTGGCATTAACTTCTGCACGTTGTGTGACCTCAGTCACGCAAGTTTTTCTTTATCAGTGATGCTTTTATGGCCCCCAAAGAGACATCCCTTATTTTGGGAGAAAACAGTGGACAGCTCCTTGGTAAATGAGCGACGTATTTATTGAAGGGGAAACCAGTTCACGATAAAATGCTTGCAGGGTACCTGTGATAGTGTAGAACCAACAGGGCACCTGAAGCCTTACAGAGTGAGAGCTTTCTAACCCCAGTGGCTCATTGTAGTTACAGGTGTCAGGTTGGTGAGTTCAGTAACAGAACACGTAGAAGCTAAGCGTGGGGTTTGGTAGTGTCTTGCTTAAGAACCAACATCTGGAATGACATGGAGAAGAAAGAGTAAGAAGAAATCTTCACCGAGAACCTGTTGGTTTCAGGCAGGTTGTTTGCCTTCTCACCCTGATCTGTACAGCTGCACAGGTCAGAGGAGCTAGGTGTAGAAAGCTGCAAGACAGGTGAGGATTAGGGGGGCAAACAGCATTTTACTGCTAGGAGCAATGCTAGGAAAACCAAGCTTTGTTAGAGCTCCAAGGTGTTTATCTTCATCTCTCACAGCCTTAAAGATGCACACTACACAGGAGAGGGGAGTTTGGGACAAAACCAGGAGAAATAAGTGCTGCAGTGGATGTGAAGGCTAATTTCAGTCGAGGAAGCAACACTTTTGTTCTGTGCATTTAAAGTGCAGCGGGAAGCAGATGTTTGAGTCGTGGCGGGGCGAGTAGATAAAGCACCGTGTGTTGTGCTGAGTTAGGGACGGGGAGCAGAGCAACTCGACGACAGTTTGTGCCTGACTGGATATAACCTGCACGCGGGTCTGTCGTAAAGCATATGCCTGCACACATGCCAGTGTGTGTGTTCCTATTTCTGGCCCGAGAATTGCCATGGCTAGGGAGAATTATTGTTTGTGAAATCGGTTATAAATAGCTCTGTTTGCTTGTGCTGAGCTTTCTCCCGTTCTGCAGAGTTCCTCGAGCTGTTTTGGGGACGTCAGCGGTGTGCAGTCAGCTCTGTTAAGCCTGTGGTGGGCTGGAGTTCAGCCCCTGCCTTTTGGTGTAGCCTCTGGAGCTGTTAAACCATTCCACACTGGCGTTTGAGGGGTGCACACAGGAAACCTTTTTTTTTCAGTGGAGACTGGGATTTTAAAGAATGCAATGGTGATTTTTTTTATGTGAAACACTCACATAAGTCAAATAAGCATCGTGCTTGCTGCAGCGTCCAGGCAGGTTTGGGAAGCACAGATACAAGAAGAGTGCTGGGGAATTAGTGAGCTGTTAATTGTGTTGAGATCAGTTTGGATTCTGTGCCAAAAAACCTCCCCATATCTGAAGCTTAATCATAATTTTCTTTAGATGTATATTTTTCAGAGCTGGTGTTCAGATCTCATACACGTTGTTAGCCCACATTAATAGTTGGTGGCTGTGCAGGCTAGAAAGTGAAGTGAGAAATCAAGCAGGGGAAAGGAAAACCTACAGGAAATGCAGATACACACTTGGTTAGGTTTCCTAGAACTTGAAAAGTAAAAGGGTGAGGTAGCTTCCTGCATCTTAATCACGTTCCTGTAAAAGGTACAAGCAGCTGTCAGTAAGGCTTTGGTGTAAAGATGAGGGAGGAAGCAGCAGGTCTCCCAAAGAGGGCAGCGTGGGGAGAGAGAGGGGTTTAGGGACAAAGGCTGTGGCACCGTGCTTGGAGGCGTCCCCCAGAAGGTGATGTGTGACCCGAGGCAGTCTGTAGCTGCCGGTGGTGCAGGACGTGAGCAGGTTTTTTCCAGGGAGCTGCTGCTGCAGCAGGCTGTGCCCCTCATGTGCTTGTTTCCACCCTCGGGCTGGCCCCCTGCTCCTCGAGGTGTGTCTGCCCCATGGCTTGCAGCCTGCAGGGCTTGGGCTTTTGGTATTTCGGTGCCTTACGTAGACGAGCTGGGAGGTTTGGACGGTGCCAGCTTTTGAAATGCCAGTGCTGTGTGCAGCAGAAGCCTGGCGCTCGGCTCTTGGCAGAGCTGGACCCTCATCACACCAGGGTGCGCTTGCCTTCCTCCGTGGGGCAGAGGAGCAGCTTCAGTAATGAATTGTGTGGCTGAAAGAGAAATTTCAAGGTAAATCTTCAGCGAGGCTTAATTATATTCTAAGTGAAAATTGATTTACGGCGTGGTTTAAATTACATCTGCCAATTTGGGCTTCAAGTGTGGTGTTATGCTTGCGTAAATAACAATGTGTGTTTTTTTTTTTCTTTCAACAGAGGTTGCAGAACTTGAAGCTAATTTACCTTGTAAGTATAGCATTTCATGGCACGTGTTTTCAGGGGGAAAGGACCGTTCGTCTGACTGTTTTGACTGATGTATGAATGCTAATGATGGATTGGTTAACTGGAGGGCAAGCTGCGCAAAACTCTGCCAGCCCCAGGTTATCTTTGTTGGAGTCGTGGGGCCTTGCTGGTGCCCTTTGGAAGGGGATCCCATTGATCCTATTGCTCATCTGGTTACCCTACAGAACCTGACTGCTGGTGGAGTGCGAGCTTCCTTGTCACAAAACCCCAAAGTTACCTGGAGCTGAAGAGTATGCTCACTGCCTCGCTGCTGTTTCTCCTCTGTTCTTTATTTAAAAAAACTTGAAATGCTGATTTAGAGGCAGGGCAAATAGCTGAGTTCTCAGGAAACGCGCTGTCAGCCTGCTGCTTTTTTGTTTCTTACATTACTTATTATGCATGCTCTAACCTGGTGTGCTATTTAAGTGGACATAATAATGAAAACTAATGACAAAAGGAACAAGATTCCTGGAAAAGGAGCTTGGGAGCTGCCACGTATCAGGCTTGGAGGCACTTGGAGATCCCATCACTGGCTCTACATAACTTCCCCTGGTGCGTGCTCTTATTTCAGAGCCCAGGATGCTTCCCCTGCAGAGAGCGAGGTGTGAGCTGCTCGCTGCAGCCTGAGAGCTCATGTGCAGGGTGCTGCCATGCCGTGCAGTCGCCCTGCCCTGCCCATGTGCTTATCTCCCCCAAAAAAGCAGTGAATGTGCCCTCTGATTACGCTGGCAGGTAACCCGTGATGTTTCCAGTCTTCTACATCTGAGAAGAGCTTTGGCTGTTTATTTTTTCCCCCCTCCAGGTTAGACCTCTGAGTGCTTCTGCTGAGCCTCTTCTATTTGCATGCCTCTAAATCAGCTGTCAGGTCTCAAAAATCAGCCTTCTCAGTGTGCAGGCTGCCTGATGGGAGGAATTGAGGGGCGAAAAATACAGACGAGAAGCAGCAAAAAGGGATGGCATGAAGGAGCATTATTTATCTCTTCCTTTCTGTCCGCTCTTCTGTCTTCGAGGCAATTACAGACCTCTTACACAGTAGTTTTAGCTTTAAACTTTTTTGCTTAGACTCCTCTATGCGATAATAAGCTGTTGAAAAATGTATTTTGGGGTTTGTAGCTATTATGCTGAATGCATTACTAGGGTTTGTGTAAGCTTCTACTTATTCCTGCAGGCAAATAGGATCTGTAGCTTTGCTATTTATCTTCCTGACTAAGGAAAATAACACAGCCAGCTTGATGGATTCAGAAGCTAAAGGCTGCATAATATGGATAATAATGTATCCATGGATATACGTGTCTGCTGCCAGCTTGACATCTTGTCTGTGCCATAACCCAGAAGGGCCAGCTCTGTGCATGAGAGGCAACTACTTTGTGCCATCAAAAGCAAACAAAGGGCTGTTAGGCTCCCAATTGCATCTGTTGAACTGAAACTACTGACTAGTTTCCTAACAGCCCCCACAAAACCTCGCAGATGGATGTTTTCACTTCTTTTTTTCACTCGTCCTTCATTCTCATTATTGTCCCTAAATTCCTCTAGTCTGCAAATAAAACAGTGTTTGTGTTGAACCTTCAGAGCCTTTGCTCCGAATGCATGTACTTGCTAATAACATTAAAAAAAAAAAACACAAATATGCAGTAGTTGTACATGCACATCTTGAGGCAGTCTTGGATGCTGCATACACCTGCAGTATCTGATTTCCACTCACCTGCTAACTTCTGAACAGTGCAGTAGCTGCAGTCACTCTGCAATCACGCTGTCTGGAGCAGTCAGGTCATCAAATCCAAGCAGTTCCTGGCTGATTGTGAAGCCTGGGTAGGAGGAAATGTTGCTTCATTAATTAAAATGTGCACATTGCCAATGCAGCGTTAGTTTGCTAATTAAGCCCTTTTTTAACAGAACATTTCAGTACTGAAATTCATTATAAAAAGCCCTAATGAAACGTAGACTCTTTCCCCTTGCCCTTTTTATTTTGGTGCAAAAGCCTGAAAAAAAAACTAATTTTCTTTCTAAGAGCTAATTTTTGAAGGGATAGGGCAGGGATCTGACTGCCTGTCAGGAGTTTGAACCTTGCCTTAGGTGTAGTAAAGCAGGCTGATCGTGGCACCCAGCTGGGGTGAGAAACAACTTTGTTCTACAGGACATCTGATTTGGGATGGTGCTGTCATCTCAGCACGCCTTGTAGTATAAATAAAAATAAATATAAATACTTTGTTAGCATAGGGCTGTGGTTGCAAGACCTCTTGGGAACTGCAGTGTATTATCTATCAAATGTTAAGATAGGTTACTGCTAAAGAATTTGTAAGGAAGAAATGCTGCTTCTGGATGCTGACATGTAGCATGTGTGCAGAAGGTAATTCTCTTGGTGTTTTCAAGTCCGTGAGACAACGTGGTTTGCTGAAAGGAAATAAACTTCCTCACAGCTCAGAGAAGTGAGGTTCGATTACTGCAGGTGAGCTCCAGCTGTAGGGAGAAGAGGCACTTGAAAAGAAAGTGTAGGAAGTCAGGTGACTGGAACGTGGGGATTAATCAGGGTGTGAATTTGGAGGATATGAAAGGTGATATATTTGTCTTCCCACCAATGGAGATACACTTGTCTGATGCAAATTGCTCTTTTGCTTCACAGGTACATGTAAAGTGAATTTTCCTGACCCAAACAAGCTTCATTACTTTCAGCTAACTGTAATCCCAGGTAATTTTCTTTTAAAAAGTTGGTTTTGTTTCTGTGTGTGTTGGTGGTTAGGGGACCATAATGCAAAGACTGCTAAAAAATACAATAAGCCTTCTAATCAAGGAAAGACTGGCTGTAACACAGTCATTGTTTTATAGGGTCAATTGAAAAATTGGGCTGGATTTAGAGTACTAGTTGGTAATAAAAATGCCATTAAAATCAGGCAGGCTCAGTAAGTATTCAGGCCTTTTTTTCTCATTTTGATCAAAAACATTTTTTTTTTTCGGAGCCAATTTCAAGTCATTTTATTAGCTGAGAAAAAAAACTTAGGCTATTTCTAGAGAAATGAATGTTTTACAGCCCTGTTACGTTGCAGATTTATTCTTTTCTAGTGATTACTTGGTTCTGTTGTTGAAAAGGTAGATCACGGGTGTAACACTGCTGGAAAATGTCAAATTATGCATGTCTGAAGATGCTTAACAAGTAGGAGTCTCTTTGTGTTTGAATGTCCGAGTGTGTGGAAATCAGAGCTTTTAATATGACTTAAGTATGCTGCAGAGCTTCTGCTGGCAGGTTGTTCAGTAAAACAGAGCCTCAGAACCACCTTTTCAAAATTCATCACTTCAGGTGAGTTTCTTAATAGTAACCTGAATTTATGGAGTTAGCTCATGGCTGTTAGGGAGTAGAAAGCTGTGCTTGTGTTCTGTGGGTGAATTTGCATGGGATTTGCATCTCTCTAAACTTCAGGAACACTTTTTGTCTGTTCCCTTTGAGACTCCACAACAATTCAAATGAGGGTGCTGGTATGTGCTGTACACGGCACGTGTGAGTGAGGTGTGCTGGGATCAGTGCCTCCTTGCCAGCTAACTCTGGTAGATTTTTGTAGCTGTTTATTGACAACAGAACTTGTGTGCAGTGTGATGGTCGTTGTGAGGTCCTACCTTATGCAATTAATGGTTTACATTTAATAGGGTTATAGGAATAGCTTTGCTAATCAGCATCTTGGTATCAAATAAACACTAGATGTCACTGTTGCTTCTTATTACCCCAAATCAACGATCGCTTCCTTGGCAGTAAGAATCCTGGGTTATCTTTTAACATATTAATTCATTGCAACCCCTTTTGGGGATGGAAAAATGAGTAAGGCTGCCCTAGTCTGTATAATGAAAAATAAATGCAGGTGCTGTTGTCAAACTTCTAACCCCTCGCTGTATGTAGGAGGTGTATTCACGCGTACTCGGTGAGTGTTAGTCTGTTTGCACCAATTAATTGTCCTTCAGTTTGTGAATGCTTCCTTGTTATGTTTTGGAAATGAGCTGAATTCATGAATTCATCAGAGCGCAAGTCAGGGATGTCTTCAATATGATGGCTTCTTTGTTAAGGTGTCTAAATACATAATCATTTGATTTGTTTGCTAACTGCTGTGCAGCAAGATGTTGCAGTCGGGAGGCAGCCCTGAAGTGCAGTGCATGGGTTCTGTGCTGGCTTCATTGCTGAAATGATCCCAGGAATGAGACGATCTTAATTAACATTTTGTTGCTCTAAATATAGCTGCACAGCTGAAGTCTCTGCAGTTGCAGCCTGAGCGAAGTAAACATCTATTTTCAGGTACAGAACCTTGTGATCGGCTGCAACTTAGCACAGCCCCGTCAATGCAGAGCACGACACGTACAAGAAAATCTTTGTAGCTTTCTAATTACCTTTATTATAGAGAAGTTTGGTTTTTTGTTTTTTTCTTTAGAGAATGCTAACTCCGTTTTCCCAGGGATAGCAGAGAGGCTGCTAAGTGGTTGTCCTGGAACTTTTCTGGCTCAAGAGGGATGAAACCCTTGTCTGGAGGCAATTATTTTTGTAGTGTCTAAGCAGTGCTGCATGAATCTTGACAGTTAGAAGGCAGAGCCAGTTCTCCTCCTCCCGCCTGCAAGTGTCTCTGGCATTGCACTGCCGAATTGCTTGTAGGAATCCTGCTCACACACGTGGCTCTGAAGGGAGAGCTTTGCAAATACCTCTGGCTCTCCAGTTGCAGAATGAGAGCTGTGCTCAGGGAGTATCTGATGCCTTCTTGCAGTTTTCACGGCTCAGGGCTGCGTAGGAAGCGTGTGGCAGCCGGGTTTGGTAGGCTGCATCGTGAGCTGGTGCTTGCTGGCTCACACCTTTGGGTTCTGAGTTTGCTGACCTGCAGTCAGAAGCTGCATCCTTCCATGAAAGATCTGGTGAAGGCGTGCTGATTGTTCTAAATTCACGCTTTACGCTTACATTTCTTGTTCTGATCAACATTAAAGCCTGAATTCTGTAACTGCACTTTGTAGGGGGGACCCTACCCCAAGACAGCTTCCCAAAGTTACCGTGAAGATACCAACTGAAGATGTCTGACATTGGAAGTGCCTTCTGCAGTCTGGCCTTATTTTGCTGACAGTGTTGCTGGGCGCTTTGTCTTATGCACTCATTTTGAATGTGGCTGGTTGTGAAAGGACAATAAAAGAAGCTTCTTTGGGTTTGAATAAGAAAATAAACACCAAGCAGAAATACTTCCAGCTCCTTTGTTCTCCACATCCCACCATAACCTTTCTTAGTATTTAATGTCACAAAATCATGCTGGTGGCTGAGTTTCAAATGGAAATGAATTTTCAAAAATCTTTGACTGTTAATTTCATGTAAAAAGTGTTACTTTAACTTGTGCTTGAGAATTTTTGTTTCCTTTAAGGTGCATCTCTGTGCAGTGCACAATGAGGTGAGGTATAGCAGAGAAAATGGCTAAAAAAAATAGATTTTATTGCCATATTGTGTGCAGGCTGCGTGTTCCTGAGGCAGGTTCTGCTGGCTTTTGCTGCTGTCTGAAGCAATTGTTCTGTCCCTTGTGCCATCGAAGCAATTGTTCTGCTGTTGGAAGAAGTGCCCTTATGGCACCATTTGCCTCTTATTTCTGCACCAGCACCTTATTGGATCCAAAGCCAGACAAAATAAAGAGATGGCTGCCTACAACCCAGGTGCTCCTGCTCCTCTTGGAGCCCAAAATTGGAAGCTGAGACATGGTAATGACCTGGCAGGGGAGGGGTGAGTTGGGTAGCTCGTACACGGAGACAACCAGAGGAATGTGTAGAGTTAATGGGACCTCCCAGACGGTTGGGGAGGTTCGGGTTGGTGTGCTTATTTGAGTCGCATTCTTCAGGGAATTCCTACAGAGCCTGTTTTCTGTTTGGCATGCCACGAAATGCCAAATGTCAGCAAGCACGGCTGAGCAATCAGCAGTGCTGATCCAAGGAGCTACTGTCAAAAGCACATCCTTGGTGGCCTGCCCTAATTATCACGCATTTTCTTTTAAAGCAGCAGAATAACTTTGTATCTTCACAGCACTTTGAACCATCAAACCACCTCGCAAACACAAACTACGATTGGAGTCGGGCTGGTAGTAATGAAACTCAAAACTGAAGTGGGAGGAATGTTAATACAGCTTGAAGACAGAAATTTAAGCAGCAGGAGAAAATCAGGAGCTGAGACTTGTTCCCTTTTTAGAAAAGTCTCTCATAAGTGGGCAGGTTATGAGCTGAAGCTATTTTAATTGACCATTACAGGGCTTTTCTCGCTGTTAACTTTGCCAGAACTTCATTTATTTTTTTTGCAGCACAGTTACATGGCTGAAAAATCAAGGGGGTTGGAGTTTGGGATTCGGGTTTTTAGTGAAAACATCTACAAACAGACAGGAAGAATTGTTTCAATAAAAGAAGGTAGGGAAGAAATGTTTTACCCTTCTAATAGAAGAGGTGCTCCAGCCCTCTGATCATCTTTTTGGCCCTCCTCTGGACCTGCTCTAACAGATCCCATCCTCCTCCTGCTGGGGGATCCAGACAAAAGCTACCCTGGGCTGTGTCTGCATCAAGGGATACAGCAGAGAAAGCGAAGAACCATCCTTCAGCTTTTTTTTTTTCCTCTCCTTGTGCATCCTCTGAGCAATCTCAACAGCAATCGTGCTGCCTGTGCCTGTAGGTGAGGATGTACGTTAATTAATGCTGCTGCCCAGGGAGGCTGTGGGGCCGGTGTTGTCGGTGCGCGGGGACGTGGAGCATGGCTTTTCTCTTGCCGTCGGGCTGGCAGCAATCTGACAGCCTTCTGGCAAGCTCTCCTCCCCTGGAGCCGTTTTTGAAGGTTTCTTTTGGACAATTGGATTACAGCGAAGATTGATTAAATCTGCGGGTTGCTCTGACATAAGGCACATGCAGCTCCATCCATCAGCAGGCATCTATTTCACATTAGCAGGGGTGGAGCACGAAGGGCTGCTGTGCGCTACGCTCCCAGGCCAGAAAATCCTGGAACTATTGAAACGAAGCCAGGGGAAATAACTTCCCACTGCCGGGCTTCACCAGCAGCCTCCCCAGCCTTGCAGCAGCCTTCTCCGTGGGCATTCACACGTGGGCGTTGCGTGTGATGGCTTCAGCTGGGAGGTGATAGCCTGAGAAGTGCCTGCGAGCCAAAGGGCAGCCCGGAGGCTGGTGGGAGGCTTTGAGGGATGTGCTTTGTGCTGTAGCAAGCACCGAATTCCCGTCGGGTGTTGGTTGTGCTGTTAGGCTCACCGAAAGAGCCCTGCATCTGATTTTCCCACTAGGGTTTTACGAGGAGTGGCATCGTGTGGGTTCCTGCATCCTGGTTGAAAGGCTGGTACATGGTGCTAGCTGGTGGATAACGTATAAAAATAAAGCATCAGCCGTGTCCTACAGGGTAGCTCGGTGGTGGCTGGGCTCTTTGAACACCAAGCAGAGTGTTATTCCACCGTTCTTCCTTGCAACAGCATCTTGCCTCAAGTGTTTGGTGAATTTGGAGCACTTTCATTGAAAGGATATTGGTATAACTCGCCTCTTATAGATGTGATCCATTAGAAATGGCTTGCTTTACTCATTTTTTTAATCTCTAGTACATCTTGTAAACAAAAGATAAATGCTTCGACTTGCCTTTTTTTCCATAACAATCAGTGCATGTGCAGTTGCTGGTAAGGCATTAGCAGCGTGCCGGAGAGGTCTGCTCAATAAATCAAACACTTCACAGTTGAATTGGAGTGGAAATGGAGGATGTATTTGAAAAAACTGTGTTCTGGGCAGGCTGTTAAAGTGAGATCTGCAACTGGTAAGGCTTGCAGCTCCGTGCAGGTGGATGTGGATGGGGAGCTCAGGACCTCAGGAGCTGCAGGCTGACTGATGCCTACTGTATTATCTCTAGTTACACCTAGCTAGATATCTCCAGAATTTATAGTTTACAGTCTAGCAGTTCTGATACCTCAGCATCAAGTCTGAGGTTGGCAGAGGCAGGCAGATTTCCCTGACTGATACATCATCAGGGGATAATTGTCAGCTGGAAGGCCTGACTTGCCTTTTCATTACAGCACGCTGCGAAGCATGCTCTCGCACACCGTTATTTCTATTAGGGTAAGTAATTGCCAGCTCAAGGCTGAGGATGAAGGGCTTGAGCAGGATTTAGCGTGTGTTGGCAAGCACCATACATAACCAGCTCCTCCTGAGAGCTGGATTTGGAGTACCACAAGCCCCGTGGCCATTGTGTGGCACAATTTTGTGGAGACAAACACGAGAACTTCAAAGGTTTGTGTAGCTTGGTGTCACCTGGTGCTGTGATCCTACAGGTCTGGGGCTGTGGGCTCTTCTGATTTGATCATTTCTGCTGTACAGGTGTTGGGGAGGGTGAAAAACACCACGTTCATACCCTTTGGAGTAGCAGGCAGCTAGCATTTTGGTATTTTTTTAAAATTTTTGGTGATAAACCAATGCTGTTTCTTGAATCTTTGTTACGACATGATGTGTATGTATTACATGGCATCCTTTATTTTCTTAGGTAACCATTTTAATATTTATTGTTTTTTTTCGTAGATGAGGGCTATTACCAAGGTGGAAAGTTTCAATTTGAAATTGAAGTTCCTGATGCCTACAATATGGTGGTGAGTATCTGTCATCAGTCCAGTAGTTGTTAATTTCCTTTCTACCTAATAGGATTTGAGAGGGAAGCTGGCAGTGAGATTAAGAAAGGGTCTTCTGCCTGTTGCTAGATATTGTAGAAATGTAGAAGAATCTTGGATGTCTGGAACATTTGCAGGTGCTGGGCTTGCTCTGGTTTGTTCACAGATACAGTGGCCTCCTTTTATGCCCTCCACCAGTTCTGCTGCTCGTCTCCCAGGCTGTTTAATTAAACATCTTTAAAACACATGCAAAAAAAAAAAAAACAAACAAACAAAAACCCACCAAACCTAAACAAACCTATTTCAGTGCATATTAAGCAAATAGCCTTCCAGAGGACCTCCAAATGATTGCCATATATTATAGATAAATAGATAAATGGTTCTCTGGAGAACTTCTGAAGCATGAGAAACGTTATTTCAGTATTATCCCCTGCTAAAGCTGCAGATCCTGGCAAGGGAGGTGGAGGTACAATTACGATAAAAATAACTTCAGACGTTGTTTTCAGAGTTTAGCTGTCAAAAGGAAAAGATTGACTCAAAAATGGAAAGCAGCTGGGGCATATGTCTGGTTCTCCTGAATTACTCTTGCTGTTCTGTGTTCTGATAATTTGATATGTGAGGAAACTATATTCATTTGAGCGTTTGAGTTGCAATAATTGCATTTAGAGGCATGAATTACGAAGGAAGCCTTCCTTTCTTTAAAAATGTTCAAACTAAACGATTTTGCCTGGTTTTGTAACTTTATTTAACATCTCTTCTTTCCGTTTTCTGGCCTCTGGTGGTAGTAGTGCAGAGGCTGGAAAAAGTGTAGGGGAGGATGCTGGAGAAATGTGTCCGAGAAGACCTTTGACTTGTGTTCAGATGCACCAGGCTTAAATTCAGCATCATATATACGTAGTAGCTGCAGTCACAGCATTGTTAGTTTGTTTATATATAACAAGATAATTGGGTTGGCATTCCAGAAGATGCCTTCACAAGTTTCCTAATGTTCCTTTATTTATAGTCAACAAATTCATGGGACGTGCACTGTAGCTTTTAAAAGGGTCCTGCTTGTGGAGGACCTTTTCCCTTTGCTTTGGGAACAGGTGAAGAGAGAATTAATGCTCTCTGGAGATTTGAAACTCCTGCAGTTCAGTGTTTTATTGGGACTGGTCAAAGCCAAACAATGAATCCTGGGTGTCTGTCAATAGGCTTCTATTAGTACATCTGGTGTTTCCAGTTGTTTCTTCTTGCTTTGAAGCTCCCCCCATAACCTCCCCAGAGAATTTCACCTGGTGAGTTTTACACACTTGCATGTGGTTTTGTGCCTACTATAGATACATAGGTGGTCACTTACATAGATTTATAGGTAGCCACTTAAATGTCTGCATCCTTCTGCAAACTTGAATAAACTGAGCCATCACATACCTGAGAAACATGGAGGGGGAACCCTCTGATGTTCTCACCTGCCTGATTTTTTTTTTTTTTTAGTCACCTTCAGTAAGAGTTTAACCACTGTGGCAATGCTGGGCGTAAGGGAAATACACAAAATCTCTCTACTCAGTTTAATTTCTTGAACTCCTGAGTTTAAGGTATTCACCTGCACAATGCTGTTGCAGGAAAGTACTCGCTACGTGGTAACAGAACACAATGTTAATTTAGATCTGTTTAATTGCTATAATTAAAAAATCTTTTGATTTGTTATGGCTCCCTGCTCGACACTGACAGAAAATTTACAGCAAATGTTACTAAGAGATTTCTGAATCCTGAGCACCTGCCTCTCATTCAGCACAAAGGTGAAGTTTGCCTTTGTGCCATTTATTTAAAAAAAAAGCAAAATGCAGGTGGCTGGATGTTGAGGGCTGGCCAGGTTATTAATGAACGTGTATATATTCAGAAATATTGTGAAAATACTATGGTTTGTTTTTCTGCCAGGCAGGAGGAAACTGAGATCAGTGGTGGTGATGTTTTTAACCTCTCTTTAGAGGGGCCAGTGCTCTTCCAGCCTGCAGGTGAGGTTGGGATATTGCACATCTGCATCAAGCTGCCTGCAGTGATGCCGAGCGTGGCTGTGTTGGTAGGAGTATAACCACCAGGCAGTCATTATAGCCATCATTTTCTAGTTAATTTCTTGAGCTTGTATATCAGGAAAAAATCTGGTTTTAATGCTATCAACTGCGTAATTTGTAGTGTAGTTTCTGTAACAGCATCCTATCATTTCTGTAGCCAGCTGTTGCCCACATCCCTTATGTTCGTTGCTCCCCTGGGGAATTGTCTTCCCCCTTCGTTCCTCATGAGCAAGCATTCAGCTTTCGCCTTGGAAAAAGAAGCAGCTGTGTAGGGTGGTGGCAGAGGGAAGAGGGAAGACGTGGAAGGCTTTGTGTTGTGATCTGCAGCTGGGGCGTGCTGCTCTGTCCAGGGAGCTGAAGCGCTGGGGGCTGACTTCATTTCTGGGTAAGAAGTGAGTGTAGGGAAGTAGCTGATCCTCTGCTCTGTGTATTCCTGAGTCAGGCGTGCTCCAGCTCCTGGCACCTCGGCCGTACACTTCCTCTGGGCCTAAAGTGTGGGAGGGATGCTCTGGAGCGAGCTCTCATGAAGAGCTGCCTCTTTTTTTGTGAGCAGAGCACCCAGCTGGCTTGTCAGGCACTGCAGCATCGCTGAGCTGCTCTGTGTGGTACCGGGGATGCTTCTTCTGATCAGCTGTAAGGAAATAAAGTATTGTAAGGGTTCTGCTGCTGTATCCATAATTAACTAACCTGAATGCTTCCTGCAGCCCTAAGGAGGGAAGCACAGTTGGTGACAAGGATGCGAGTGTATTCACGTGGTCCTGAACGGGCAGGCCTGCTTTCCAGGGACAGGTGGGGTAAAAAACATCCTGAAGGGAGGAACTCAGCCCTATACTGTGACCCAAAAATATATTCCAAAAGGAATCTGTGCACCTCAGATCAGTTCCTTCCGTACACATCTGATTCAGGCTGCCAGCCTTAGGAAACCCTGGTGTCTGCAGAGCCCTCTGCTCACTTCCAAAGTCTTCTGGTCGCCTTGATTTCTCTTCACAGCCAGGACTTGCTTCCTTTTTATAGCACTGTTTTACGGGCAAGACACAGAAAACTGGTAGGCTTGAGCTTCTGATGTTTTCCAGACTCTGTTAGCTTTTCCTGTAAGCACTGACTATGGTCTGAATACAAAAAGAGAAAAAAAAATTGTCCCGGGAGGCCTTTTTCCCCCTGAAGTCAGAGCTACTCTGATAAGATGCTGTGCTGGTAGAAGGAAGGGGGTTGATGTTTAGCTATTGAGGCTGTTTTTGTGGCATTATAAGTCTCTAGAAGGTCAACACTTAACTTTACCTTTTCTGAATTGCTTTTAAAGCTCCAATTTTTTCCTCAGTTGTGGTGTAGAGGTAATTGCTGAAGTACTGGAAGAAATTTCAGTGTTGGCTTCTATACGAGGGCTCCCCGCTGTCCCAGGTAGGGAATGTGGGTGCACCCACTGTGCTGTTAAACACTACATATTTGGGAAAAAAAGCAACTGTGTGCTTCTTGCCTGCAAAAACACGCAGGAAGCTGCCCTTAGTACACAAACCTTCGTGTTTGTGAACAGCGAGGAGAGGCTTGCCAGGGTTTGTGCTTACACAGAGCTCGGGGAATGAACGCTGCTGTCACCAACATCAGAGACATCAGAGGAAGCTGGGGACTGGCAAGCCAAGTGGTGAGTGCACAGCAGATGCCTTCAGTGCCACGGGCTGCTGCCTGACCCCTGGCTCTGCAGCATCTGTTTCCCACGCACTGCTTTATTCATTGAGCAGCTACCCAGAAACAGGAGACATTAAGAAATAGGAACAATTGTTTTTTATTTCAATTTAATTTAAAAAATCCACTGTCCAGGGGATGTATGATTTAAAACAAACAAATTTTTTCTGCCTTGAGGTGCCAGCTAATGAAGCAATGAGTGCTGCAAGACTGGGGACCTGATGTTTTAAGGAACCAAACCTGATAAATAGCACAGATGTAGTTTGACAAGGACATAAAACCAAGGTGACTCCACAAGCCAGGCCTGGTTTGCAGCTCCTGTGGTTTTCATCTGTCATGTTGTTGGCGTAGAGAGGCTTAGGGACTCTACGGTTTTCCAAGGTTTTTATGACATGGGATGCCTTAGGCAGAGGCCAAAAGCCAGGGATTTAGCAGCAGAGCTGCTCTTGGTCCTTCTGGCAAATAAGAAAATATCAGTGGCTGCTTAGGGATGGAGAAGGAAATCACTCAATTGGCTGCTGTGTTTGAGTGTGGATCTATGCATGCATCCTCCAGCACCTGAGGGGAAAGGTGAGCTTATAAACCGCAAAGTACATGGATTTTGTAAGCTTTGCTGGGCAAAGTGTCCCGTGTATGACCTGAAGATGGTTCGAGGTGCTCAAGGGAAACATCATGGCAAGGAAAGCTTGCGTGGGTTCCCTGATTTAAGGAAAACTCAACGATTGCTCAAAGAAGTTCTGTCTGAAGGACGGGTTGTGGCAGTGCTGCAGGTGTCCTGCCTGTCTTCCTAACAGAAGGAGAAGGGGAGAGAAAAAGAAAACCTTTGTCTTACTGTCAGGAGTGGGTTTTTCTAATTTGTAGAGATGAAAAGCGCTTTGGTGAAAGGATAAATGAATTCTTTTGTAACCGTATTACTCAAAATTGAGACAAGTTACTTCGCTCTGAGTAACTGTGAGGATTTAGGGATTTTTTTGTAAAGATTTAGTTTGCGTAGAACTCACTTTTTCTATTCATCACTACATTCTCTATTTGAAGGCACGTATGGTGAAATTTGCTCTTTTATCTCGAGCTACCAGCACGGAATAAATACTGCTGCTTTCCCCTTCTTTGAGAGCCAGACATCTTTCAAAACAGTGTGAGGGCGTAGCTGCCGGACGGTTGGGCTCTTAGAAAGCTTCCAAGGTGAACATTTGGGGGCTTTGGAGGTTAAAAAGTTGCATCTCAATATTTTACAGAGATTTTGGGGAACTGAGAAGAAAGCAGCGAGCCAAAACACCACCATGCAGGCACAGCTCTTAGAGCTGCTTCGCTTCTGGGCGGAAGGCAGCTTGGGAGGCAGGAGAGGAAAATAGCTCCCCATTTATCCTACCGCCTTTAATTGAAGCTACGAAAGGACTGGGCCGGGCTGATGGTCCAGTATGCCTACTGTAAAAACTAATCTGCTTGATTGAAAGCTGCACATCCTCATCTGGAGAACAGGGATGGGATCGTGTGCTGTTGCTTAGCTACTGGCGTTTTTATGACCCGTGCTTTGTTTACTTCCAAAAGTAGAGGAAACGAGGCTGTGTTTTAAGGATCTGTATTTCAAAACTCACTGTGCAATTGAGAAATCCGGTGGTATTGCCTGAAAATAAGTCTTTTTAACTTAATATCTTGAGTTTGGCTATAACTGCCCTTCTTCACATTTTTCTTACTACTCCTATTCACTTACCATTACACCTTCTGCTGTTTTTTTAACAAACCCCCCAAAACTTGGATAAACCTTGTAGAAAAACACTTAGTAGTTATGCAGTTCAAATTGTTGTCTTACTTGAAGGAATACATCAAACAAATGTCTGCTTTATATTCAAGAATGTAAGTAAATCTACAAGTGTTGAGAAACTAAGTAACATCGAGTGTTTTTTGGTTTCCTTTCCCCAAAGGAGGTAGGAGAAGAGTGTAAATTTTCTTGTCTTTCTTCATAATTGTTTTTTCTAGGAAAAGGCCCGGTACCAGCCCATGATTTGTAAAGAGTGGAGAGAAGCTAAAAGGGCAGAGAAAGCTGGTGTACCTCCTGTAGATTATATTATTGGGGTCTTTAACATGCGAACCTAGGCTGTGAATATCAAATACATTTCCCTTTGCAGTGCTGTGACTTGTAGCAGTGATTTGGCTTTATTTTAAAGAATAACATTGCAATTTGTTTTCTATCCTGACAGCCTCCAAAAGTAAAATGCTTGACAAGAATCTGGCATCCGAACATTACAGAGATGGGAGAAATCTGCTTAAGGTAGCAACAGCGTTTTTTTATGCCTTTGTGTCACAAAATATCACATGTAATTTTCATGTCAGTATTATTTCTTCAACAGATTTTGGAAATTAGACTGGTGTGTGACCCTTAGGACCACACAAATGTACTGAAAGTGTTCTTGCTGTGCTTTAGAGACTGGGTAGAATCTGGCTCTTTAGGTTCAGTCTTAACATTTTGTTCTATTTAAGGTAAAAGTATAAAATTGAATCTAGAGAATTTTATTTATTTATTTATTTATTTTACTTTTCATCCCTTCATAGATGAATAGTCCCCAGGATCTGAGAGGACTGAAGGCTTTAGTTATTTGATTTCCAAAGGTGTTAAGTGCTTGGAAACTCTATTTCATAAAAGGAAAACAAATAATTTAACTTTGACAGTAACTAGTCTGTATTTGCTGTTATTTTCACATTTAATATCTGCTAAAAGACACACTTGTTATAGCAAAAGGGATTTTGGTAGGTGTAAGTCAAAACAGGAAGCACGAAAGCTCACTTTTACAAAAGGGACAAGTTTATGGTGTTCTGCCTTTTTGCCTGATAGTAAATGTTTCCTCCTCAAAGTCAGTTTTTCTGAAACTTTGTAAATTCACTGTTCCATCTTGAGTGCTGGATGGTGAAATTGGCCAGAAAATAAACATAAACAGACATGAGAAGCATGGCCGTCATTTCTCAAGTTAATGGGACATAAATGAAATGAAGCATAAGCAATGGAAGAAAGACTGAAGGCTGCTCTGAAAATCCAAACCAGTTAGCACCATGTGTAGCAAATCAGTGCTTAAAAGATATGTTTTTTTTTTTCCCCTCTAGCTTTAAAAATCATTTTAGTGCTGTGAATGAGGTCCTGGCTACAAATGAAGCTTTCTCAGGGTAGTCTCGCCTCGGACAGCTCAGCATGTACCTGGTGTTGGACAGGGTCAGAGCCTGGATGTTGTTAGCCTAAAAGACTGAGTAAAGGCGTGAACAGAGGAGCTGTGTGGAACCAGTGAGCAGGAAATGCTAGATACCAAAAGATAGCTGAAAGTTGAAGCTCTGCCTGCAGTGCTGCGTCTTCCGAGGTTAAACAAAGCCTCCATGCACTCTTGAGGATATTTCAGTGTTTCGAGTCTTAAAAATGGTTTTAATTATGACAGATAAATGTGGTGTTGGAACATCATAATTCTGCTTAATGAAGTGAAGTCATTTCTTTGGCATCTGCACTGAAATGTCAGCTTTATTTGATTGTCAGATCCTTAAGCATATTAAACCTTTGAAATGTCTTACCATTTAGATGGAAAAGCTAAAATAACCCCGACTACTTTATGCCTGTTATAACAGAGAATGCAGTCTATATATAGTACCTGCAATCAACTTCTACCAGGGTATTTACATAAAAATAGCTTCAGGTATTTTTTTTAAGCAGCAAAAAAATTTAGTACCAGTATTTTTCCATCTGTTTTCTGCTAAACACACCTTACACCATGGTATGTCTTGGTTTCATAGGTAACGGTCCCCATTTAAAAGACAGCAAATGATTAAATTTGCACCAAGTTTTAGGCACAAAAAAACATTATTCCTCTGCTGTATGAATTACAGTTACTCAAATTTGGTCTGGACCGTAATTAAGGATGTTGTTTCCACTCCACGTGTGGATAGGAAGCGTCAAGGTACCCAGAAGGAAAAGGCAGTGAGCTGCTCCGTATTGGTGGATGTGTCCTCCTGCCACTGGTGCCCTGAATTCATGGCACGGTGTTAAAGGGTGATGAACACAGAAGTGTTTGGAACTGATGAGTTGTATTATCACGGGTATATTATCATATAGCTGTATTATCATACCTTAATTCAAGCTTACCTCGCCTGATGCTTTGTCTTGGCTAAAGGAACCACAGGCTCACAGAAGGCTGGAAGAACCTCAGAGCCCATCCAGCCTGGCCTTGGGCACTGCCAGGGCACCCACCACTTCATTTTCTCCGGGCAAAACAATATGAAAAGCAACACTTCTGTTGGAACTGATGCTTTGTGTTGATAAACATTTGTCTGAGATGTTCATGTAAAGCAGCCTTCCTCTGTGACTGACCCCCCATTACAGTATCTTTGTGTTTTTTTTCTTTTTAGTTAAGCTATAATTGTGTCAACTGGTGTTTCAGAAAGTTTTCAGCTTGCTAGAGCCGTGTAGTTCCCAGCTCAATAGTTGTTTCTGCGTAGTTTTTTTAGGCTGCTATGTATTTAAAAAGAAACTTCCTAATTTTTTCTCCACGCACAAGTGAAGTCACAGCAGGAGAAGGTATTTGTGGAAATGAATGCAGAACAGAGGGCAGAGCATTCCAGTGGCTGTTTTGGTTACCGTACATTCAGAAATAGTGAGCTCACCATATTCCCACGGCAACTCAGATACAGGGACTTGAAATCCTGCTCTGGTGAGGTCTCCTTAGCGGTATCAGAGCTGAGGAGCAGTTCCCACTTCCCGTCACTGAGGGTGTGCTTGGCTTCTGTCAGATCCAACTACAGCTGGGAATGCTCTTTCACGGATCACCCCAGTTCCCAGGTAGGTTACCTGCCTGGTAAACTGCTCAGACCCTGGCACTTACCCTCCTGTCTCTTCAGCAGCAGTGAATGCCTTTAGTAACCAGCTCTAGGGGGCTGAAGTGCTGCTGGAACTGCAGAATTTGCTTACCCTTCCCTCTCTGGAGGCACACTCATTCTACAGCATCACAAAGAAGCAAATCATGCTGGATAATCCTTCCAGCAGCCTGCTATGATGCAGCCAAGTCCTGGCAGTTTTACAGTAGTGACTTCAAGTGAAATACCTGGTGGGTTTTCCAGCCCATCGGGTGTCCCAGAACCCTGCTAGAACAAGTGGCTCCTGTAGCCTGGCTGGGAGCTTGTTGAGGGCAGCATCTTGAAGCAGCAGGTGGAGGAGGAAAGCTCTGCAGGTTGTGTGATGTGAGAACTCGGTGCTAAGCAGCTCCTCCGTGGCAGCAGGACTCATCCCCTTTGAACAGGAGCTACCCGCAGAGGCTTGCTCATCCCCTAATTCAGGCTGTACTTGGCTCCTTTCTGCTGGCTTTGGTCTTCCTTCTGCTGTTGGTTCGTGTGAAGTGCTGAGAGCAGATCGCCGTTCAGACCTCCAAGCTGCCTGGCAGTTGTATCTAGGTCAACTTCGTGGAGAACGTGAGATGCAATTTCTAGGCACCCTGCACAGAAAAAGGATTTGCTTCGGGGCATAATGATCGCTCCCAATCTGTAGGAAGAAAGAGGATGCTGCTCTAAAACCGAATTACATCAGCAGATCAGAAACAGGAGGCAAAGGTACAATTATCTGTCGTCACTGCTTTCCTGCCAGAGCTCTGCGAGGGGTATGAGTGTCTCCTCTCCAGGCCTGGCTGCTGAGCATCCCCAGCTGGAGATTCGCACAGAGAGGAGCTTGGGGAACTTGAAGGATGTTAACGAGGCTTGGCTGATGTGCTCAGGCACCTTGAGCTCTCTCGGTGGATACTCTCAGGGTTTTTTATTGTATGTGTTCACTTACTCCTCGTTCTTAAGTTCGCAGGGAGCTATGTATGAGCAGGAAGAGGGGAGCAGAATTCAGAGCAGCAGCCAGAAAGGAAGCTCAAAAAGCCCATTATCTCCTCAAAATCTGGGAATCCTGGCTGTTGCCTGTTCAGTATCATTCTTGCTTAGACTTCTGTAATACAGACAAAAGACACAGCCACAATATGCTCTTTTTAATGTTATTTAAATTAGTTTGGGGCCGTGCTTGTGTTAATGGCATGTTTAATCTTTTCAAAGGCACAGAAATGAGATTAGCAGCGCAGTTAAGATGGGATAGTCTTGACGAGTGCATTCATCCTGGTCCTAGCATCTGTACAGGGAACAAAGAGTAATGTTGCACAAAAAGAGTAATTTAAGACTATTTCTCTTTAACCCTGGTACTTTAGTAGTAGAAGCTACTGTTGCTGATGAATTTTTGTGCCTCGATACTGTATGTTTTCAGTTTGATTGCTTCTTAACAGAGGAAGGCACGATTGTGAGATGATGCTTGAAGTTTTCCAGATCCTCTTCCTTATTCAGATGATTGCCTTTGCTCTCACAAACGTGAGCAAGAGTTCTTTTGTCAATTTTCCAAGACTTTTGAAGCTTCTAAATTGTGTGCTAGGCTGCAGTACTTCTCCGAACTGCTGCTGGATTTACCAACAAAAGGTCCAGGAATGCCCAGCCAACTGAATGCACCTCAACGCTTTCATCTTGTAAATGGGTCAACAATTTCGGTGGACTTAATATTTAACATGACAGGCAGGTTGTGTAACATTCCTATACGGTGTGCCTGCACGTAGGAAAGTCCATGCTTTATTTACATTGCTATAAATGATAAGGGTGTGTATTACAGTTCAGAAGGAGCTCTTTCCTTCTGTAGCAATCTGTTTTTCACAGACTAATTAACAAAGTGCTTCATGATTTCAAGCTGGGGGTACGTGCAGTATTGAGTTTGCCTGTAAAGTCTTAAAAGGCTCTGCACACCATGCAGCTCACCTGCTGGAAGATGAGAAGCTGCCTCTGAGATTCTTCAGAATTCCCTGTTCTGGGTCCCTGGAGGTTTGGCACACATCTGTCGATGTTACAGCTGTCACAAAACCTTCCTGAAGAGACAGACCAGAGCTATTTAATTTTCCTCTACCTGATTTTGAGCAGCTGAAGTCCTTTGACAGAAGAGGGTACTAATCCTCATTGCTGCTAATTAGTTATCCCTCCAAAAAAATCCTCTTCAGGGGATCGAATGTGGCCGGACATGGTGCCTCCCACCAGATTTGCTCTGTTGGCGTGCTTTGGTCTGGCACCAAAGATGAATGTGTTCTGGACTGGGGCACACATGTGTCTTTGTGCTCAGGGGAACAGAAAGGCTCAGCGTCAGGCTGTGTCGTGAGGACTGCTGTCACACTTGGTACAATTAAACAAAATAATTTGATTTTTTTTTTTTAACAAAGCCGAGCTCAGATCAGGAAACCTGTAATGAGCTCTGTGCAGAACGTAGTTCTAGGACACCGGTATCAGGTGTAAGAGGTCAGTAACTCTAACAATGCAATTTCTTCCAACGGTGTTAATGCTTTCTAAGAAGTCTTCTGACAAAGTTTAACTAGAAGTTACACTGTGTAATACATTTGTCTTTTTTTTTTTTTTCAGTTTATTGAGAGAACATTCAATTGATGGCACTGGCTGGGCTCCAACTAGAACGTTAAAGGTACCGTTTCCTTTTAGATACGTACCTCAAACTAGATGTACCTTTTCAGATACTTTTATGGACTTGCAGAGAGACAGGTAATGCAGTTTGCTCTAGAAACAGCTGTGTGGTTTTATAGTTTTTCAACTTCTGCTGGTGACAATACTGAAATAAGTACAGTGCTGAGTATAGAATCTTCTGCTAGTTTTAGTGTGGCTGATTTGACTGATAAAAAGTTTAAAGGAATGATAGGACTACGTTTGACCCCCAGAAAACACTCTCGGTGTAGGTGATCTGATTTCATAGTTTTTAAACCCAGGCAACAAATACGAAATGTCAGCAGGACTAACAGTAATCCATAGCCCTCCCAATTTCCATTGCGTTTACAATTCTGACAGATCAATAGGTTGTCTCACAAACTTTTTTTTTTAGAATTAAGCTGTACTGCTTTGAATTTTTGTTTCATCCCAGGTGTTTGAAGGAGTGAGCAACATGTCTGCACTTAAATACTGTGTAATTGAGGCAGTGTTGGTTGTTCTGATAACTAACTCCAGGAGGGAACTAACTGCCACCAAGATCACAGAATGGCTTCAGAGATTGCTCCCCCAACAGCTGGGTGACGCTAACAAGTCCAGAGCCATAGCTCCGATATGAAATGCTCTTGGGGTGGTCACTGAGGATATCTGCTTCAGTGCAGGAACTGCTCCTGTCTGGAGATAGAAGCTGCTTTGTTGTCCATTTGCTGTGTGACCTTGCTGTCAGAAGTCTCACATTGAGCAATAATTTCTGTAGCTCTTAACAGGAAACCCGACAGAATTCCTTTTCAAGGAGCACTAGCTAGGTCAATAAAGGGTATACATCAGGTGTTTTTCTTTTTAAAAGGCAAATTAGAAAAGAATTTTATTGAATACTTAATCTCCTTTTTGGAGCTATGCAACCTACTTGTCTCTAAAAATCTCTTCATGAGTGATCTGATTTCCTGTAAAAGTGAAGTACAATCAGTATGTGTTCTTCTGTGTTTTTTTCCTCTTTGCTTATTTTTCATCAGTAAATATGATTTTTTATTAGCTTAAATCAAGACACTGGCTAATTAAATTAACTGGTTCTGTTCCTGTATTTCATTCCCAGAGGAAGCTTTTGGACTACAAATGTTTAAGCTTCAGACAATTAGAAAATTACAATACCAATATTACAACTCGACAGGAATGCACATAGATTTTTCTGTTCTAACTTTGTTTATGGTATTTCCCCTGGGGATTAAAGTACTGCTGTGTGTTAAGCCCATGGGTGCCAGTAATTATTGACACTGCATTTGACTTCCTATCCTCAGCGAGGATGGAAGATGCGTATTCATTTTCTTTTCCGTTCTATTCTTGCATCAGTTTACTAATTGCATGTGATTGATTTCAAAGAGGAAACATCCTGGAATCTCAGCTACCAGGAGAGTCAAGTTACTTATTATTTAAGTAAATTACTTATGAAGTAATTTAGGGCGTTTTTACCTTCCATAAGGTAAAGTAAAATAAATCTAGCATCCCATCTGGATTTCCTTACTCCCATTGGACATTGAAGCACCACAAATGCAAGGTCACATTTTAGAGCTTAAAATCTGTAAAGTTTATCGGAGAGTCCGTTTTAAATATGCAGTTTCAGTAAGTGTTCTCTCACGATCTCTCCCTGTGATTTTTGGCACATCATCACAAAGCAGAATTACTGCCCGTCGGTCCTGACTTCAGAGTTGTGCCTCTGCAGAAACGTGGTGATTGCATCGTTGCTCTAACACGAAAATAGCTTCAAAAACATGCAGAAACAGCCACTGGGGATGTTGGGAAGCTGCAAGCTCTATTCCCAGAGAAGTGCTGTTGAATTTGGTGTCCAAGTGCTTGGATTGCAGGCTACATGCAATTCTGAGCTGGAAAGCTCAGAATATCTGCAGTGTAGCCACGAAAACACGGGATTTGCCATCCACATTAATCATTCTGTGGTAGGTACATGGTCACTGCACACCAGAGAATTGCGTGGAGCAGTGTGCGAGGGTGACTGGTGGCAAACTGGAGCCATTCGATCCGACACGGCTTGCTTTTATCTCCGCACCCACTAATCCAGCCTTCCTGAATCCTTTCCAACACTCGGGCACCGTGGCTGGGAGGACATAGCTCATCTCCCCAGGCTGAATACCATGTGAATTTGCGCAGTAGCACTATGGAAAATATCCGGTCCTGGCCAGTGGCAGATGTGAAAGTCAGTGTTTTGTACTCCACTCACCGAGAATACGAAGGCAGCCTGGTTTTGTGGAGGAATAGTGCCTGACTTTGTCAGGTACAGTGCTCTGAAATACTGCTGAAATATTTTCTTGGAGAATGGGCGGGATGTATTGGGTTTCTACAACAAATACTGTCAAACATTACTGATGCAGCCATTCTGAGTGCATTAATAAAGCCATTTAAATGGATAACAAAAACCTCAAAAGCCACAGGCAGAAACCAAACCAGCTTGGTTGTAGGTTTTCTGCTACCACATCCATTCGTATGTTACATGCTTAAACTTTCAGAGGACCCAAGCTTTAAAACTTTCAGATTGTCCCATCTTCCACATCCTTGCGGTGGCAGCAGAGCTCTTGAATGAAAAATCCTTTGAAATAAACTACTGTGACTTTTTTTTTTTTTTTTTTTTTTTTTTTAACACTTTTGGTATCAAGTACAGTGCTTTCTTCCACTTCCCATAGCTGAACGTGTTTTCACTGACTGCAGGGAGGTGCAGCCTGTGTGCTAGGGAAAGGAGCTAAGGAATGTGCCTGGATTAGATGCGTTCCAAGCAAGTTGCAAGGAAAGTTGGGTTTTAACCCTGAAGAAGATCACAGATAGGTTAATATTTTTAAAACAATCTGTATTTTAGCACCAGTGATGCAATTGCAAATATTGTCTGTATCCATGGAAACACTCCTGAGCCCTAAATTCTCAGATAACTTCTGGTAGCAGCTTGCTCCACAGAGCAGGGACTGTGTAAAAACCAATGAACTACTTCCTGACTGATCTTCCTGGGTAATCTTTTGCTTCCTTAGAGCCAGCAAGAGCTCGCTCACCTTTCTGTCTCTGAACCATGAGGTGCTGCATTGCTTTACTTGCATGCTTCTCTCTAAAATAGTGTTCAGAAAGTTGGGGGCTGCAGAAGCCACTGTATGCCCCTGCTGGGACTAGGTGGGTAGTTTGCTTTTCTCCTTTTCTAGGTCTAATGGTCTAAGCTGGACTTACCCAGGTGGAAAGTGGATAGCTGGCTTTAATTCATTCAATTCTCAGATTTTTAATTTTCTAAAGCTACCAGCTTTTAAATAGATACCTGCTATGAAATAGCAATATTACCTTTGCTTTGACAGCCTGCTTCTTGTACCCTCTGTAGTTCCAAATTTGGACTCGAAAGTACTTCATTAGCTCCTGTTATTCCCCAACAAACATCTCCTCGTGCCGTGTTCACCATAACTATCATCCGCCTGTTTAAGGCAGCCCCCCGGCGCTCATCAGCTTTCTCTCGAATGTTTGTTTTGACTTTGCTGTGAAATTATCTCGGGCGATTGATTAAAAAAAAACAAAACAGTGGATCCATGTATTGTGATTGCCTAATTGGTTCTAAAAGTCAAGCTGTTTCTTCTGCAATTACCTCCAACGAGCTACAACTGGAAATTGGTCAGTGACTGATTTATGAACCATAAAAATAATCAAAGCACTTATGTGCAACTCTGACTCCAGAGGGCTGTGCATGGTAATGTTAAAAACAGTGTTTTAGAATTAATGATGAACATTCAAGGGAGTATTTGGTCTTTTTCTGTAGGGTTTTAATGTTTGCTGGTAGGATGCATATGCATTTCAGTTCTTCGTTAAGGTATTTTACAGAGCTGGTTTTGTCGTGTTTGTGGCACTGCTGTCAAGAGATAAGAGCAGGAGTGGGAATCATCAAGGTTTTCTTGAGCTGTTGCTGTGCAGACAGCTTTTGGTACCATCCTATAGGAAAACAATACTTCTTTTCAGCAATTAATTTCCCATAGCTTCAGATACCAGGCTAAGAAATATCTGTTTGTGTTATTAGATAATTCCTTTAATACCTTTTTTATTAATTATGGCTCATTTTAAATTAACTACCATTATTTGAAGTTTGTCCTTAAGAGGTTTGCTTATTTAATTAGCAATTATTATTAGCTGGGAAAATGTCCTATTTGTATTTGTTCTGCCGTTGTCTGCAGGCAGTGAAGTTATCTTATTTGAAATCATGCAAATGTCAAACCGCAGTGTCGTGGAGAAATAAATCAGAAGGTCCTGGCTTAATTTTTCCACTTCCCAATGTTTAAGCACAGTTTTAAAAGCTTTTGGTGTAAGCACAAAGCTTTCATTCATTGTCTTAATGAAAATAGGTGGTCTGCTGTCAAAATTGTATGCAATTAGCGTAGAGGAGTCTTTTAAACTGACAATGACTGTCACTGCCTTCAAGATGAAGAGGAAAAGAGTAAGCCTGTATATTCTGTGCTCTTCTAATTCAATTCTTGCTGCTGCTGCTCCTTCTTTCTCAGCCAGCATTACGGTAACGCTGTTTGCTGTCACCCTGGCAGAATCACTCCTGATTCGTGTTGTGCTATTGATTTCTCTAAATCCCACCTTGCAAAGGGCCTTCCCGCTGTATGCAGAAGCATCAAAGCACCTGCTTGTGAAAGCTGCCTTCCTAGATGGAATACGTTCATCCCCCACACTGGCAAAGCAAGGAAGAGAAGTGTGCCAAAGGAAGAAACTGGAGGCTCGACGGCTTGTACCCAAGAGCACAGATGCCAGCTCTTACTGCGCAGGAGGATCAGAACGTAAGGCACTGCTTTGCAAGGAGATTCCCGATTTAATGAATCTTACAGCCAGCTTCTGGGATCTTCTTGGACGTGATTATCGAGGTTACAAACCTGAGCTTCTGGAAAATGTATCCCCTTTGAAGGTATCTTTAAAGGAAAGGAAAGCAAGCCTGCTGGTTGCTGAGTGTCCCTGAGGGAA